GCCCCAGAGTCGTATCACCCCCTGTTGAAGCAATTTGAAAACGAGGAAGCCTGGTTCGCCGCCGCACACATGTGGGATGTCTCAGCCGCCAAGGCTGCAGGGTTAGTACCAATAAGATGACAGGCTGTTTTATTGACTGATGCTAATTACCGCGTCATAGGTTCAAGGGGGCGTATTGTACGGTCTGGGAAAAGGAGCCCTGCACAGAGCTGTTTGGTACCATGGATATTATGGAAGATTCGTTCCCAGAGATGGCACGGAAGATTGTAGCTGCCTCTAAAACTAGCTAAGAGAAAGATTACCATGTAATAAAGTGAAGTCATTCATGATAGGACCCATCAACCCTTTCCCCTAAAGAGCTTCACCGAGCCACCGATCTTGAAAGTGACCCGGTCCGGCCCCGGATCTGGAGCAGTCGGTCAGCTGGATATCGCTTTGATTGCCGCCTAGTCATGTCCAGATCCTAGACCGACGCGGGGACGGTGCCAACATGCGGGGCCGGAAGCTTGGCTCTCTCACTAGGATGGAGCGGACCCCTTTATTTGCTTCCGTTGGTCAAATAAAAGAGCCTAAAAACACTGGCACTTGGCCTACTGACCTTTCTTCTTTCGGCACAGTCCAACCAGTGAAGCTTTCAGAGTGACTCTGTCTTGGATCTCTTCTTTCACTAACACACATACGATTCCAAACCCCCTTTGGCAATGCCTGCAGACAATCAACAGGGCCACGGCCCGGTTCCAAATCCCGTGGCCTCTTTCTGGGCAACAGAGCCCTTCGCATTGCAAGATCATCAAAGCTCCGTTGATCTTCCCCCCAGATGCGATACCCTGATCGTCGGAGCCGGCCTGGCAGGTGTCGGAACTGCCTATCACATTGTCCAGGGCGGCTCTGATCCAGCTTCAATAGTACTGCTCGAAGCGCGACAGGTAGCTTCCGGGGCAACCGGACGGAATGGAGGCCACGTCAAGCCCGATACCTACTTCAATGTGCCCAAGTTCTCCAAGCTGCATGGGCCAAAGGTCGCCGCTGAGCTGGCTGCTTTCGAGGCTTCTCATGTTCTTGCGGTGAAACAGCTCGTCGAGGCTGAGGGCCTCGACTGCGACTTCCACCTCACCAGAGCTGTAGATGTCTATCTTGACCCTGCTCACGCAAAAGAGACCGAAGCAGCCTATCGGGAATTGGTCAAAGAAGGAATTGTCAATTTACGTGATGTCGCCTTTATCCCCAAGCAGGATGCAGAGAGAGTGAGTGTAGCTCGCATTACCCGAAGGGTGATATCCACAGCTGTTAATCAACTACTTAGGTTTCTGGTGTCAAGGGTGCCCAGTGTTGTTTCTCATTTACTGCAGCTCATCTATGGCCCGCGAAGCTGGTCCATGGCCTGTTGGAAAAGCTTGTCAAAAAGGGGCTCCAACTCTATACAACCACTTCCGTCACATCCGTATCACCGTCTCGAGATCCGGATGGCATGTGGGCGGTTCAAACATCTCGCGGCACCATCCGGGCAAAGAAAATTGTCTATGCGACCAACGGCTACACAGGCTCTGTCTTGCCAGAATACAAGAACAAGATCGTCCCCGTCCGTGGCATCGCTTGCCACATAGATAGCCCAAAAGGTTCCAACACGCCTCACCTAGTCAACACTTACGGCATACGTTTTGACAGCCGGAACAACGATTATCTTATTCCTCGAGCCGACGGAAGCATTGTTGTGGGAGGGGCGAGGCAAAGATTCTGGCACAACCGTGATAGGTGGTTTGGTAATAACAGAGATGATGAGCTTGTCGATGAAGCCGTCTCATATTTCGACGGGTATATGCAACAGCATTTTCGAGGATGGGAAGGCAGCGGAGCCAAGGTCAAAGAAATATGGACTGGAAGTAAGTGGAACAATCGACTCCCAAGCTTACAGAGGAAGCGAGAATATCTTGCAGCATATTAACAGACTTTTTAGTCATGGGCTACAGCTCAGACTTCGTGCCGCATATTGGCGAGGTTCCAGACAAGCCTGGCCAGTTTATCATCGCTGGTTTTTCGGGACATGGCATGCCGGAGATTTTACTGTCAAGCAAAGGCCTCGCATCCATGGTCAGGGACGGCACGGCTTTTGAAAAAACTGGCCTTCCACGGATATTCAAAACCACCAAGGCTAGAGTTGAGGCTCAAGGTAGTCCCCTGGAAGACTCGTTCAGCGAGCTATGGGCAAAGACACCTAGCCCGAAGCTATAAACATAAAGGTGCTCCCTAACGAAGGGGAAATCCCATGGTTGTATTATCAGCAAAAGGGGAGTGTTAGATAGCTAATCATGGAATACCTACTTCTGTATAAATTCTCGGCACTCTGCGCTTCCGATTTCTATGTTTAATTTGGAAAATCTCTACACCCATGGACTGGGTATAGCAATAATTGAGTGATATTTATTTACAATGCTTGAAGGGATGCACTGATAAACAATCTATATAATGTACTGCTGACGCTTGACACCAACATAAATAAGCAGAGTCTGTACCAGACCAACCAATTGGGCAGGCTTATAATAAGAGGCCACTAAGCGAGTGGAAATTCAGTAGAGGATTTGGAATTTCCGTTGTGCATCGTAGAGACATTTTTAAACTGTGGTCAAGGTATCGGAGTTCTTGACCTTTGGAAACAGTTTTTCTTTAGGCAAGAACAGTGTTGCAACGATCACAGCAACACCCGATATGATGCTAAGGATATAAATCTTGCTGATAGCATCCGTGATGGCATTGATCGCTTCTTTCTGCAGGGATGCACCCAGTGAATCGAACAGCTGGCTCGAGGTTCCGGCAGCCGCCTTCCTGATCTCCTTTTCGCTGAACCCCATGCCATCCAGAACCTTGGCAAGATTTCTGTACGAGAGTTCTTGCATCATTTGGCCTCCAATGAGCAAGCTTATAAGCTGCCACCCAAGCTGGGAGAGATTTTGCATCGAGCTAACTCGCTGAACGTCAAGTCCAGACCCGGTTTGCTGGAACATCTTGATGCTTGCGATGGAGAAACCTAGATTGAACACAAAACCAGTGCCGGCGCCGAGAAGGATGCTGTATCCATAGACATATTGTGGGAGGGTGTCGCTGTTCACAGTGTACATTGCCACACTGCCGGCTGTCATGAGAATGCCGCCTGCCAAATATATAGCCCAGCTGATGGAGTTACGAGTCAGCTATAGGGAAATGTAAATCCGGAGGAAAATAGCTCACTAATAATTAATTTTAGGCAGTAAAGAACCTGAAAACATTGTGCCCGAGGCTAGAAAAGCAATGAAAGGTAGCAGACGGACAGCAGCCTGCATTGTCGAATCTCCCCTGGCAAATGAGAAGTAGAGGGGAAGATAAAACAACGGGACGTAGATATTTGTAGCCGAAACAGCCGTCATGACATAGAGAACTAACTGCGTGGGGTTAATTAGAACGTGTTTTGGAGGCACCATCCGGTCCGCTACTGTAGTGAAGAGTAGAAAGTATTGCTGGACAAAGGTCAAGACGAACAGTATCCCTGTCACAACGAAGAGTGCAATGGTGCGCTTATCGTTCCAGGGCCAAGTAGGACCTGCAAAAGTTAAAACCATGGTGAAAGACACCATGGCCCCTGTGGCCAAAATGAAGCCTGCCCAGTCGAGGGAGACGAGCTTTGTCAATGTTGAACGCTGATGGTCGCCGCCTGGCTTGACTTTTGGGAGCCAGAAGATGTACGCCGGAGCGCAAATCGCTGCGATGACACTAACTCAAAGAATCAGCCAAGTAATTCCTCCAATATGGGCCATAACTCACAGGTTAATGTAGAAAGCCCATCTCCAAGTGGCTGGCGAGGTGGCGAATGCTCCTCCTACCACCGGCCCAAGGACAGCACCGATTCCCCACGATACGCCCATGCCAGAAATGTACCGTCCGCGCTCCGTATCAGATGTGATCAGAGAGAAATAATTCAGAATTCTTGCCCAGATTCATCAGTAACGAACACGTGCTGAACGGGAGAAGAGAGAGCGATCTTACCCAAGAAAGATGCCATTGCCGCCCATGCCGGCGAACACTCGCCCAACAATGAGAACATCCATAGTAGGGGCTGCTCCACAAAGCGCTGATGCCGCCTCGAAGAGGATGATACTGCCAATGAACATGTACTTGAGATCAAAAATCGCATACAATGCAGCCCTGGGAATGATACCATATTAGAGGTCTTTTGGTTCGGAAAGTCCGTGAAGCAAGTGTTAACTTACCCAGGCAGAATCGAACAAAATGAACCCAAGGGGAACCCAGTGCCAGCCCACGTAAGGCTCTCAAATTCATCAAACTGGTCAATCAATGCGGGCTGAATATCCACCACAATGGTACTGTCGAGGCCATAGATGAGCGCACCAATATACAAAGAGGCGGCAGTGGCTGCCCATTTCCACCCATGGATAGTTCTCTCCCTCGTAGCACCGTCAGGTAAAACTTCATCCATGCCCTCTCCGGATAGAGACGAAGAGTCGACAGGGCTTTTTGACGTGGTATCGGATTTTTCGCCAGAGCCATCGCGAGAGGCTGTCTGAAAGCTTTTAGGTGGTTCCAATGGAGGCTCCATGATGGAATACGGCTAATGATGAAGATTAGGGTCTGAATTGTTTCAGTGCAAGGTTATGAGACGAACGGTTTTTGAGCAGAGAAGTGATCGGGGATCCCGAACCCTTACTTATGGAACTGCTTGACATTTTACAATTAGGAAATCTACCTGATCAACTATTGGCGAGTGTTAGTAAAGCACCATTTTGAAACTGCGGATGATTTTGGCCGCATCGATTTCACATGGCGGAACAATTTGTTGCTGACAAATTTCTGGTGGCCAATTTCGGCGCAACAAACTTGCTCCTCCTTTTTCATCTTCTAGGCATGCCGTTTCGTCTGATTAACTAAACAGATCTGGTACCCCCGAGCCTTAAAATCACAGTCGCACTTTCTCTCAATAGCTCGCTCAAGTGTTATTGTGTTCATCTTCAATTATGGACTTGTCGCCTGAGCTGCCCCCTGACAAGGCGTCACTCGGCGCCTTGCATCTTTGCGCCATTTGCCAGAAGCCGTTCTTGAACGAGTCTTCCTACACCAGGCATGTTTTGTATTGTCGCCGAACCAGGTCCAAGCAGCGTGCGCGTCTGAAATCGTGCCAGGCTTGCATCAAGTCAAAAAGAAAATGCAGCGGGCAGCTCCCATGCCAGCGATGCGCAAACAAAGGGGCCGAATGTCTCTATACAACACCAACGCCAGGGAATGTGGCCATAGAAACAGCAGGTACTCCCGGCGAAACCAGTGACAGGGTGGCAGAGAGTATAAGTGATAGGATCCAGTCGGCCAACGCTCTCAGCAAAGGCCAAGCCTCCACTGCGAGCGGAGACGAAGATGCCATCGACTGGGATTATCTTAACTTTGAGGCTAGCGAGATACCTTTATTGGGTTCCACCCTGGTAGACTCCTCTCTGGCCTACCAGTACGAGTCGCCCGACTCCATGATGCTTAACGAACTGCCTCCTCCCAGGAGCAATACTGGAATCATCAATACCCATCACTCTACTCCGGCTTCCCCGAAAGGGCTTTTGTTGTCTGAACAAGCGTCCCACTATAAAGACGAGTGCGCGGTGACTGGGTCGCAACAGTCTTATTCTGAGCTTCTCGGTTGTATTTCAATGAGGGATCCCATCTCAAAGTTCACTGCCAATATAGTCATGCAAACGCTTTGCGCTTTTCCTCAAATGATGCTCCGCCGAGAAACCTTCCCTCCATTTATCCACGGGCACTGGCATTCCACTCAATCTGGCTCGGCGGCTCCTCTCCCTAAGCCACTGGTAAGTTGTATGGGGTTGGCTCAAATATTTGCCTCACACAATGTCGACACTCGGCCCTTCCTCTGGGAAAAGATCAGAGAGGAGCAACGGTCTTCAGCTGACAAGGTATGACAACAATCATGGAGTGGAAATGAGACGAATGAACCTACTAAGTCTAAATTCATAGGCATACCGACGGCAATTCTCGAAGCATGATCATCTCGCGGCCATTCAAGCCCTTCTTATCTATATCATGATGCGCGTTGTGGATTGTTCAAAGACGGATCTTGACCTCAACCTAGAATTGTTGATAACATATCAGGTAGAGATAGCTCCCCAAATCACCCCCTCTATATTTTATTAACAAATCACAGGGTCTCTGTGATAATTTTAAAGATGTGTGCAAAGAGCCATTTTACCAGCACGAGCGAGCCCGTCTCAGTTCCAGCTGGGAAGAATGGGTATTTGCTGAGTCTAGAAGAAGGTAGTACCTACATCTGAATCTGTCCTCTCCTAATGTTCCTTTTCACTCATTGACTCGCAAAATACAGGACAGCAATCGTATGGCTGTTGATGACACAGATGATTCACATCAAAATAGGTGTGCCATGTGATTCATTTCCAAGCTTCAGAGATGTCCCGCTGTCCTCACCAAAATCACTCTGGGAGGCGAGGACGCGATCGCAGTGGGAGAAAGAATACAGAATTTACAAAGATTCGCCGGTGAGAGGTCTGGACGTGTTTGGAGATCTTTATGATGCTTGCAAGCACAAGCACGTTCGCGAAAACCAATTAAAGCTCAATTCTTGGAACTCCACTGTCGACAACTTAGGTAGTCTACTGAATCTTGGTGCTGAAATTATATAGAGACTGAACGCTTCCTGTGTCATCACCGGGTCGGCACTTATCACAGACAAGAAACTAAACAAATGGAGCGTTTTCTCTCAAGCCCTGAAAAACTAATATTATTTTCACCGAAATCTTCGGAATGCTAGTCAGCTTGAGAGGGGGATATAGAATAAATCGGAAATAAAAACCCAGCGCCACGTTCTCGGTACAGTGGAGAATATGGAGTTTCTTTCCGGGGTATTAGCAATTGCACAATTCAAGTGTCCGATCACCTAAACCTGATATCTAGATTTATTCAACTTCTTATTGGTTAGAGTACCATCCTTGGCAGGCTTCAAACCCATTGTAGGATGCAGGTTATTGTCATAAGTCAGTATGTGGCTTTGTCCGTGATACCAGCTTTCTCGTGCTACTGTGTAGATATATTGCAGTCCAGGGATGGTCTTCTCGAGACGCTTGTTCTAGGCCCCCTTCTCACTTGTCTCGACCAATTTTCTTCAACAAATGAAACTTTTACCGCCCTAACACGTTGCCACAATGGGACTCACGTTGCCTACCCCAAGGCCGCCGACTTCGGAGTCTTCCGGCCTCCTGGCCAAGGCACTCCCCTCCGGAACTCTGTTCCAGTATGTCCTGGCTCTACTCGTCGTGTATTTCATCATCTACCTCGTAGTAGGTGAAGTAGCACGGTATCGTTCCCGTATTCCCAACCTACCGGGGCCGCGAGGTCTTCCATTAGTTGGTAGCCTGCCTTGGCTCAGAGGCAAAGTTCATGCAGAGCAATACCGTCTATGGTCACTCAAGTATGGAGACGTCTTCCAAGTTCAGCTGGGAGAGCGAACCGCCGTGATAGTGAACAGCGCTGCAGCTGCTCGGTCCTTATTCCTTGGACAACGAGAGGCGATGAATTCTCGTCCCTTATTCTACGTTCTCCATGGGAAGGTTCAAGGGGGTTCAGCAGTCACCAGTATCGGAACCAGTCCCTGGAGTGACAGTTGCAAAAAGCGTCGCAAAGTCGGAGCTACAGCCATGAATAAGGTAGCAGTTGATTCCTATCAGCCGGTACGTCTCGAAAAATGTCTCATTACTCCACGAGCCATGTCTAATGAGCAAAACCAGACCATCAACGCTGAATCAAGAGGATTCATATCGGATCTTCTAGCCGCCTCGCTATCAAACGAAGATCACATTGTTGACTTTCGTGACTCGGTTCGCAAGTACGCAATGAATCTAGTGCTAACCCTCAACTACGGAACCAGGTAAGAATTAACTTGTGTCATTATTCTGTTGTGGCATGTGTTAGCTGACTGTTCCACCCATAGAGTTGAGAACATCAAACAGTTACGCGGAGACACGATTTTTGCCGAAATGGTCCTCGTCGAGACCGAAATCTCTCGACTTCGCAACGTGTCACAAAACTACGAGAACTACATTCCTCTGTTGCGACCCATCGGGAAGGTTCTTTCCTGGGTTGGAGTCCGTGACGATAAGTACATGGCAGAGATCGGTAAACGCAGAGTTGGATATCACAAGGCTCTTTTGGAAAATCTGAGGTCTGAAGTTGCGGCTGGCACAGACAAACCCTGCATCCAAGGCAATGTGCTCAAAGATCCCGAGAGCAAGGGCTTATCTGAGGGCGAACTGCTAAGCGTCAGCTTGAGTATGATGGCGGGAGCTGATACCAGTCAACCCACAGTCGGATGGGCTCTGTTGCTTCTTTCACAGCGACAGGATCTGCAACAGAAAGCTTATGATGCGATTGTTGAAACTGACGCCAGCATACTCAGCGCCGCAGACGTGTCATCGTTCAAAGTTGAATATGTCGATGCGTTTACCAAGGAAGTCGGTCGTTACTATACATCTCTAAAGCTTGGCCTCCCAAGAGCTACTCATGATGAGCTGGAGGCAAATTGGAACGGAGCCACCATCCCATCAAAAACCCTGGTGTTTCTCAATGCCTGGGCCTGTTCGCAAGGTAAGAAAGCAGAATAATATCGACGGGGGCAATACTAACATATCTCAGATCCTGCTCTATTCCCGGAACCGCTCGTCTTCAGTCCCGAGCGATGGATAAATGCTGGCACCACGGCTACCACCCACCTTCACCAATATGCATTTGGCATAGGGGGTCGCATGTGCATTGCGAACCACCTCGCTCACAAGGCCTTATACACAGCATTTTTACATTTGATTTCTCATTTCAAAGTTCTACCTGCTGTAAACAACCTCAATGACCCAACTACCATCGATCCATTAGAAGGGCTTTTGGACAAGGAGTCTTTCGTTGCCACTCCCAAAACCCAGTTCATCCGGCTAGTCCCAAGAGACGTTGCCAGAACCAAAAGTATTTTGCTTTCAGATTAGGCGTAATACATATGTGTCTGCTAAGCAGTGACGGAAAATCAATAAAGCACCATGCATTCCATCTTCATGATGGCAGCATAGCCAAACTTGATCAGAAATAAAGATAGACAAGATATATATAACTTGACTGACAACAAGATTCTCTCTTGTCATGTTAATGACACCTCCAGTTTTCACTTGCATACTTTCATGACATGACATTATTCAGATTTCATTTAGCTTTTCGAGTCTCAGGTATACTTAAAGCTAAATCTTACATTCTTTGCATACTTTTAGCAATTGTAAACTTGTAATCTTGTCATCAAGCCTCGGACTCCTTCTTGTTGTCGTGGGTGGTAGAGTCGGGTCTTGTCTGCTGTAAAAAAACCTTGTACCACCGGCCACGCAGCAGGTCTGCGGTCGTCTCTTTGGCCCCCTCCCAGTTCTCCCTAACGAGTTCCCTCGTGGGCCTTGAGAAGACATCCTCAATCTCTTCCAAAGTCTTGTTCTTGGTCTCGGGCATGAAAAAGATCTGGTAGACTTGACCTAGCACGGCAATGCCGCCGTAGAAACCCAGAGCCAAACCGGTCTTGGTCATGGCGAACTGCATAGCCGAGAAGTTGTAGGTGACCACGAACGAGGCCAAGAAAAGAAGAGCGTCGGAGGTCGTGATTCCATAACTACGCAGATAGGTGGGATACACTTCGGCGGGGATGACCCAAGTGAGGCAAGCGTAGGATCCGAAGAAGCCCATGTAGATGACCAGGCCAGTTAGGTACAAGCCTTCCGCTGCTGGCAGATTGACTTTGGGGTCATACTGATAGCTGATACCGATGAGGACAAGTCCAATGAAGAATCCTGGCAACATTGTGATGGCCCAGAAGCGCCGACCGAATCTCTCCATTAAGAAGATGGCGGGAATTGTGCCAAGCAAGAGCGAACCGCCACCAACAAGAGACATGTAGTTGGCCTTCTCCTCATCAAAGCCGATCTGATTCATCAGAACGGACATGTAGTACATGATGGCGTTCACGCCTGTCAGCTGACCGAGAAGAATCATAATGTTGGCATAGACAATGGCTCGGCGGGCGCGAGGGACCCTAAATGGAAGTTAGCCTGTTTTCAAAACTGATGATGCAAAGCAACTTACGTGAAGAAATCCATCCAAGGGAACCGGCGGTTTTTGGCGCCTTCCTGGACTTGGGTCTCCTCTTGGTTATTCGAGACGGCCATCATATAGAATTCCTCACGAGCCTCGGGAAGTGAAAGGTCTCGAATTCGCTTCCAAACTTTGAAGGCTTCCAATCTCTTCTTCTTGTGCATGAGAAACCGGGGACTCTCAGGAAGAAAGAGCATACTAGAAAAGAGAAGGTCAGGTCGCGTTAAATATAACAATGGGGTCTGAGGAGGCTTACCCGAAGAACATGATGGTGGAGAAGACAAGAGATGACCCAAGGATGTACCTCCAGTTGCCTGGCACACGGAGGAACATGGCTGCTACAGCATATCCAAGGACTTCTCCAAGAGCGATATTGAACTGGTACAAGGAGACCAAATTGCCTCGGATCTTGTGCTCAACAGTCTCGGCCACGTATACGGGCACCGTACCACCCTCAAGACCTACTCCAAGACCGAGGATGACACGAGAAGAAACAATCATTCCTGCAGCAAAAATTAGTCACCGGCATCCGGACAGTTACCATCAATGCATACCAAAGTTGATAGATCCAGCTTCCAATGCAGCGCCAATGGTGTACAGGATAATAGAGATGATAATAGCCCACTTTCGGCCAAAGTATTCGTTGGTAGGTGACAGCAAAAGCGCACCACCGACAGCGCCCAAAGGCATGCCGGAGTTGACCAAACTGTTCTGGCGCGTTGATAAACCCAGGTCCTTTGGTAAGTATAGGTTTGCGCCGCTGATCAAACTCTGGTCCAGGCCAGAGAGTAGGCCTCCCATGGAAGCAAACGCCACAAGCAGCCAGGTGAAGTATTTCGGGTTATCGAAGCTGAGTTGGAAAAAGCCAGTCTTCAAGCCACCGTCAGCCGCAAGCTCAGTCTCCATCTCGTTGATGAAGGCATCGACTTGAGCTCCGCCGGCTCGAGCAACCTCGAGAGCCTCGATCTCGAGCTTCTTGTGAATCTTGGTTGAGACCGAGTTTTGTCGTGAATTGGGAGACATGGTGGGCAAGTGGATGCAGCCAGCTATCGAGACAGTATGGCTTTGATTTCTCTCCCCATGGTACGGTACAACTTTACAACCCGGGGCATGGAGTTACCCCAGCCTACTTATATTAATCCCCTCATATCTCTCAAGCACAGGGATCTGGAGCTTCAGGTGGACTCTAGAAGCAGGCTCAAATGAGAGCGTGACTTTCAAAATTGTTCATGCCTTGGGGTTGATGCTGCCTGTGTCGGAAGATTTCCAATGAGGGCATATGGTATCACCGAGAATCTCGCCGAGCCAGTGGTTCCCGAAGCAGTCTGTGACTCGCGGGCTCCATCCGGTCGAGTCCCTTGCACCCGGAACCGGGAGCCGGGCGTTACAGAATGAGCCTCTCTTGATCAACCTCGTCAGCGATCTGCTTAATGAAACTCTGTGGAGTCAGAGAGCGGTCGTGTTTTTATTTTCCTAGCCGCCTGGATAAGTAGGTAGAGGCTGGGAATAGATCAAGGTACATGCCAGGTGTAGCCAATCCCACCTGGCGTCCTGGCTGGTTGGTGGTCATCCTGACAACGGCTATCAACCAGAACCAGCCCATCAAGGCGCATCAGTCACAATCACACCATCACATTCTGCTGGTTCGTCCCATGCCCGCAAGCGTTTTACGTTCGGTGATATTCCGGCACTGGTCTCGCTAAATGCCGACTAGGATCGGTTTTGCCCCATTGTTGAGCTGCGCTACGACATCAAGATGCCGTTCGAACCGTGGGCCCATCAGTGACCGCCCTCAGTGTCCATCAATGCTGTCACTGAAAGCATTGAAGGAAGGCACATCCTTGTTCATCAAACACCAATTAGTGCTGTTCTAGAAGTTTCAATCTCAAGATATCAATCATGAGTCAGTTAAATGCCAGCATAGTGGATCAACCCGTGTCGGTGGGTGATTTGTAGCAGATCATCAAAAACGAGGCAAATACCAGATTAAAGAATAAGAACAATATTTTAGCATGTTCGTAGAAATTGTCATCAAGCTGGCCTTGTCGGTTCGCGTTGTGTGGCCTCGTATAGTTTTGGAGGGTTGTCTCAAGATGGACAATTTGAAGCTTTTCAAAGCCACATGTGCCATCATTATTGACAAGAGATTTTATCTTGGAATTACTCATTGAATGGGTGATCTGTGTAGCTCATATTTTGATAATTCAAGAGTGGAGCGTGATTGATATGCCAATGCTTCGACAAAAAGGTGTTTCTCCTCCGCGGCAGGGAGGGATATGATGACCTCTCATGCTCCACTTGCGGAGCCAAAAGTCCAAAGAATCGTCACGCCACGTTCCTCAATGACATCACTATGCATGTCGGAGAGTCATTGAAGCTCTGATAGAAGATATGGAGGTTGCTTTGGGTCGACATGCCCAATGACATCTCATTAAGGTTGTAAAGGTCTATGCCTAGTTGGGTTCCCATGAGACGAACCAAACTACAGCCCTACATAACGCTCAAACCGCGACCAAGTGTTTGTGAGATCTATCACCAGCCTTAAATCTCTTCAGGGTGCCCTCAACAGGCGTCTAAGGATCATCAGTGCGTTATAGCTAAGGGGGAGCACCGGTGATAAGAACAGCTTGAATCAGGCTTTTTTCCATGTGATCGCTTTCCTCATTTACATTTGCAAATTTTTGTATTACCCCAAGCTACCTAGAACCCATACCCTTACGCAGAGTTCCGTGCAGCCGTTCATAACGCGCATCATACCAACTATTCAACAGCGTCGTTGGGTGTATCGGCGAGACACACAATAGAGTCAATCAATGCTTTGGCAGCAGCTTCTGGGGTTCCGTCTTGGATTCTCCTATTGCTGACCAAAAAAGGTTTCGGAAATCCGACTGGAACATCTTCTCCAAGAGCCATCAGGGCAGCTGCTTCTCCACACAGCCAACACTTATCCATGCCGTGTCCGCTGAATCCCGCAGCTATAAACTCCCCGTTCCCATCTCGACCAGTCATTTCTTTAGACAGAGGTCCCACGAATGGAAATAAATCTGCCGTGAATCCCATGATGCCTGACCAGATCCTTTTGACACTTGTTGGTTCAGCATTGTGGAAAATCTTGGAAGTGATGACGCTCAAATGAGCTCGCGCGGAAGATGATATCTTTGAATCATCGTCGTTTAACAGTTCTTTTATCGGTTGATGCTCGCCTCCAATAAAGAGATTCCGAGTTTTTGGATTTTGCTGAGCATACCAAAGGTTGACTAGAATTTCGTCTGATTTCTTGTCATAATTTCCCAGGCCAGTGCTGGTCCAGGAGTATTCAGCTCCAGACTGAGGAAAAGACGGCCCAAGTTCTTGCTCTGACATAGTGCCTCGTAGGGGATAGAGCTTTCCAACGAGATTCGGCAAGAGTTTAGCAGCGTACCCATTGGTACAGTGTATGACCTTTGAGGCTCGAATAGTGCCCCGGGGAGTGGTTAAGCTGTACCCGTCTTTCCCCTCCCAAGTATGTGGCTCCACTGACAGTACTGGAGTTTCGGTTTCGAGCGTGATGCAATTAGCATGCTTGTCCAAGATCTGTCTCCAGACTGCAGTCACCAATCTGTAAGCACTCAGTGCTGCAGCGCCGTGTTGTTTCATAAATCCCGCTCCATCAGCATATGAATAGTCCCTCTAGAAGTTTACTCTGTTAGCAAATCAATAGAAGTAGGAATCTGAGATTTCATACCTTTGCAATGTCTTTGTCTGTTGAGACTTCAACCTGGATCCCGAAATCGGGTCCCATCGCCTCAGCGAATATTTCTACAGCTCGTTTGCTCCCTTCCCAAGACTGCGAGTCCGAGAGCGAAGCTGTAGCCACCACGTCACGAAATTCGACAGTTTCTTGATCAGCATCATTGAGACCAGAGACCACCTTTCTTAGGGCGGATATATTCTCTGCTGAGAATCGCGCAATGTCTACGGCATCGTCGAAACCAAATTCGTCCACCAGTTCAGGAAACAACCCCCAGGTGTCCGAGATGAGGTGGCCTCCATTGCGGCCAGTTGCACCACTGACTGCCGTACGGGCTTCAAGAACCGCAACACGCATCGCAGATCCAGCTTGATGGCTGACGATGGCACGGGCTGCACTGCATCCAGTGATACCAGAGCCAATGATGGCAATATCCACCTCCTTAGGAAGAACTGCAGACCGGACATTGGACACAGAGTCAGGTGGGCTCTGCCATGATGAGATTGTGGGATTGGCCTTTGGGAGACCGGGAGGGCAGACAATCGCCTCCTTCACACACTCATATACGCCTCCCATCTCGTCAGTTGAGGATCGGTACGACTTGTCTCGAGGGGACGCCCTTTGCGGAGATCTTACCAGATGCAGTCATAATTCGTAGCCCGCGAGCCGATGTTCGTGTTCGAGAAGGAAAATCAAGATGTTGTGAGGATAGCTACTGAACTACCCCGGCTGCATGCGTGTTCTCGACTCTCAGCAACAGTCATTATGCATTCACCGCCCTGTCCGGTAGATTCCGTGAGATCCCGAGGTGCATGGATGGGGAGAGTTTTGCAGGGAGGGATTTGCAGTCGCATCATTCGGATTTGGCCAGCGGGGTAATTCCCCATCTCTCCAATTGCATTGTGGCATGGCCGTGTGGAAATGGTAAGAGGCCATGTTGACGCAAGTCACATGCAATGAGATGGAGAGAGATAACTTTCTTCGAAGATTATAGAAACGGTTCCATAGGTGTCGGGCGAAGCATGCCTTGCATCACAATTATTCTTATATTGTATATCACGGGTCCAAGACGGCCATCGTTCCCATAATGTCAACCGAGATTTAGTTTTAGGCTATCTTTTAATTGTGTCATTACTGGCTCCCTTAAGTCGGAAGTATCTGATTTAGCATGGGCTTCGAGACCTTCCAAACCCTTCGTTGTCATCATGTCCTTCAACCACTGAGAACAGTCCTCGCAGTACGCCACGCAGGCTTTCTACCTAGCTAGCAGTTGAAAGGGAGACAGGAAGCGCCGAACCACCAATCCCATGCCACTATCGACGAATTTCTTTGTAACACTAACTGCATTCCTTGATGCTGGTGTTTGGTGTAAGAAAAGGTATGAGATCGGCAGAGAAGTCAGCATTTGTTCTGAGGATGTTGCTAAAACCGTCCTGCTCTAAAAGTGTATCCAGGTGTAAGAGGGAGGTTTCGACTACCAAGTCGCGAAGTCCTCTGTCCTCGGAAGGCGTAGATTCATATACAACATTGATAGCAAGTGGAAACTCATCCATATTCCAGCCAGTGGTAATAAATTTGCAGAATCTGTCCTTGGAATATTCTTTTAGTGTCGGTATGTCGTACTTGTCTGCAATCTGGTAGACCTGGGCGTCATGGACCATTGACGAAACACCACGGATGTTGCTGTAATTGAAGGAATACATATACCGTAACATAGATTCCACAATGCCTGGGTCAAAGTCCTGGATTACTATTTTTCTCTCGAGACTTTCCTTTATAATAGTGAGCGAATGGTATATGTATCATCTGGCCATGCCATACCTTCCAATTCCCATTGAGCTGCTTCTCGAAATACTTGGAGTGGCATGCTAGCACCAATCTGTGCACCTTGAACTCTTGGTCTTCGCACACAATGACAACGTCGGAAAAAGTGTCGGTGTTGAAGTAGTCACTATTCATGTTAGGGAAAAGCGAATCAATCCTATGTTGAGTGCCATACTCATTCAACGACGACAAGAACCTTTCGAATCCCTTCGGTGCCATTTTGGAGCAGCAATCAGGCGACTCGGAGGCAATGGATGGAGCCTCTGCCACTGGTTCAGGAATGTCTGGCGCTGGCGGGGGTGTTTGTGGCCGATGACTTTGCGACGAGCACAACACGCGTCTCCCAATTCTTGAAGTCATCTTCCTCTTCTTTTTGACCATTTCCTGAGAGAAGGGACACTCGTCGTTCAGAAATAGATGATCGTGTGTATATACCAGAAGCACCGTCTTTTCTTCCATGTGATTGGTTTGCTTGTGGAAGGCCTCCCGCAGAAACGAAACTGTAATGACGTCAATGATGAGCGGGATCCAATTGGACGGCAGCCAAGGCAGCCATGGCTTTTCTGTGGAAGCCGATAGACTTCATGTAGTATCCCACCAATGCTCCTGCTGGATCTTTCCTTTGCTGTTTCTCTCCGTTTTGGGGAGTTTTGCCTTTTCGCATGTTCTTTCTTGGGCCAGGAAGGTTCAAGAGGAAGGCTTCCCTTATTGCCTCTAAGTGAGACCCTTTGATGGAATGTCATTGTCCGTCCTTTTGCAAAGCATCAATGAAAGGCTTAATAAAAATTACAATTTCAATGTGCCTAGGTAGGTATATCTTATTTCTCACAGAAAGCTCTTGGCATCAGATCATTTATTATTTCGGTCAATGTCGCCTGCTCAATAGCTAATATAGGCGCTGTCCAAAACGCGACAGAGGCGCCGTTGGGGCGTGAGTTCGACATAGTAATGAGCATTGGTAATTTAACAGAAGCATGATGAAGAAGCGATGATTGAAAGTGGTTAAAACAAGGATTCAGAAGAGTCAGCAAATCTCATCACCGTGTCGCCCACTCATCATGTTTAGGGTACCAAAGTGGTGAGTGTTTCCGGTCATGCCCAAGAAGGGGAAGATGAATAGACAGGGGTCGGTCCCGGCGGAATTGGAAAACTCCGGTCGAAGAGGTGCCTGATGGCAGGTCTTCGTGAGTCTTCGTAACGCACGCGTTTAATTGTTGATAAGCGAAATCTGCCTGGTGGTCAATCTTCTGCCCTACGCCCACTTTTCCCTGCCACTATTCCCTCCCTTGCATGATAATGATGCATGACAATGGGAAATTCCGAAAGCCGCGGAGGTCAGCACCGAAGAATCGGTGTCGTTTCATGGGGGCTGTAACATATGTATGGCCCTACAGGGCTGTTGATGCGCCGATTATGCTCGCCGCAGTCCATCATCCACCCAATCTAGCCGTCAATGATGCCGGCATGCTTCGTCGTAGAAGGGACAAATCTCATCTAGGGCATGGCCGCGTGGGGACTGCCTGCTAAGCCTCCCAGATGGTGACGTTTACGCTTACTGTGGCTGCATTAGACCCTCGACAGCTCATCTCCAAGGGGGGAACAGGGGTCCAAAACGATCCAACCGACGCTCCTTCGCACTCGGATCGTTGCAGACTAATGAAAGGCTTGCTGACATAGCAGCTTTTATGGCCCATCATTGGCCAGCTCGCTATTTAAGCCTTCGGTCGGACAGATTAGACACCGGTTGTCGTAACCGACTCACAGCCCAGGCCCGTGCGAGTCCGAGAGTTGATTTTATTGAATGCCCAAAGAGAAGAAAAGTGATTGCAGGGCGCGCATCCATTATCCCGTGTTGATAGAGTAGAAGTATATGAACCTTGATAGTTCCCCCTATCCACCAGTATTTAGATCCCGCCTCCTCATCGGCTTATCCCATCTGACCATTGAATACGCCTTGATCCAGTTCAATAAGCACTTGATGCTCCTTTGTACCACTACGAATAAACATTTTTGCCTCTCATCTTTTTACTAAGGAAATCTTAAAAATGTCTCGCCAACTCCCTCCAGGAACCATCATCTTCGGACCCGACGCCACTTGCACACTCGACACTTGTCCCGTTGATTGGAGTATCTACTCCTATAGACCATCTCTTCCTGGAAATGCTACTCTCCTTGCTCTCTTTGGTATTGTCGGCATCATCCACACATACTTAGGCATCCGATGGAAGAGCTGGGGTTTCATGGTCGGCATGCAGCTTGGCTGCATCAGCGAGATCATCGGCTATATCGGGCGCATAATACTTTACAATAACCCTTGGTCATTTATTGGCTTCATGATCCAAATTGGTCAGTGTTTCTTCTCGTTGCACTCTCTTCTAGATTTGGTTACCTAACTGTCCCCAGTGTGTCTGACCATCGCCCCCGTCTTCTTCACGGCCTCGATCTATGTTACCCTTTCCAAGACCATAGTTCACCTCGCTCCGGAACTTTCCCGCTTTAAGCCTCAGCTTTTCTACTGGATCTTCATCCCCGCCGATGTCGTTTGTCTCGCCCTCCAGGCCGCCGGTGGAGCCATGTCCACGGATTCCGACGGAGGCGACAACACCGGCGTCGATATCTCCATGGCCGGCCTGATTCTCCAAGTCATCGTCCTAGTTCTCTTCATTGCCGCTTTTAGCGACTACATGTTCCGCTACTGGCGCTCTGGTCGCATGTCCGGCTTCCCCTGGCGCCTCAAGGCTTTCTTCGCCGGCCTCACAACCTCGATCCTGCTCATCCTCGCCCGATGCTGCTACCGTGTCGCCGAGCTCCGCGAAGGCTACTCCGGAGACATCATCAAGCACGAGATACCATTCATTGTGCTCGAGGGCGCCTTCATTGTCGTCGCTTCCTTTGCGCTGTGCTGGGGCCACCCTGGTCTTGCCCTCCGCGATAGCCACAGGGACTCGGGCAAGGCTTCTGACAGCGAGCAGGGTACTATTGAGATGTGAATCGGGCAGTCTCGGATAATGGGGGATCTCAAAGAGCAACAACGATAATGGTAACTTTAATCAGAGCGTTTGGACTGGCGAAGCGATATGATAGATTAGAAATAGAGGCGTTTTTAGATTGTAGGGGATAGAGCAAGGGAAGCTTGCTATGGGAGACCCTATCATTTGATTTTTATTTCATTTGTTCAGCAGATATGATGATGAATTCAATTTCTTTTTAGAAACCTCACGCCAGAATGGATAATAACTATTGGTTTACGGTCGTAAGGAATCTCACGTGTCTTGTCAAATTAAACGTTGCAATGTCCAAATTCCACATTGTGCCACATCAACAGGCTGCACAAGCTCTTGTGCCCTTTCGCCGCTCTCTTCCCCATACGCATTCCTGATGTTCGGCGAAATAGCAACGGCCATTCAATTGGCAGAGGTGTCTAAGTCAACCCGGCCCGGCTCTCCTTTTCATCTGGCTAGGATTGTGCAACAAAAGGAAAAGGAGCAATGAGAAAAAAAGCCATACATATTCCTCACGCAAGCCTACCATAGTACATTCCCATGTTAGCAGGACTCTGGAATGCTCGGATGAGTTATCGCTGAAGATTTGGATGATGTTCTGACAATGGAATGAAGGGCTGTGATCTAAAATGGCATCAGTTTGACAAGGACAAAGCGGTAAACCTTAATGCAGTTTCAAGTAGCGTACGTCTAACGTAGACACCTGATTTGGTCACATAATACATGTGAAGCCGGTTCTAGAAGCCCAATTCCTGACAACTGTATCCCTCAGCGGGTTCTCTAACTTGCACTTGAAGCTTCAAACACATTCATCCTTGATTGTGGAGTTTGAAATCCCAGATGGCACCAGTCTGCTCAATAAACAGACAGAGAGAACCCCAGTGTAAAGGGAACGGAAAGCCACAACAGAACGGTCTCGGTTACTGATTATTTGAGGCAAAAGACCTCTTCTGCAAATCCTCGGATGCTTGTAATCTCTGGTTGGCCCGCGGCCGAAGAATGTGTCACGCTATTGATCAGAATACTTGCGGCGTATTATACACCAGTTCGAAAATTTTTGCTTCCAGAAACATTCCCGTTGGAAAATTTCACTCCTGTTTGTCAATATCGCAAGGAATGAGGATCACCATCGGATGGCTCTGTTGGCGTTTCGCAGCCTAAAAAAGGACAGCGCCGGTAGTTACCAAGCTGAATGAAAAGTTACTTTCCTTGAAGTATTCAAGCTTCATATCTCGGTTAAACCTTAGAAGTTCGCTAGGATGACACAATACAAGGCCATGTCTTTGTCGATGCTATTTTTATTGGCCTGACAAGCCTACAGTCTCGTCCCACTATAGAATGTCTTGGGCTATAAAAGGGGACTGATTGATTCCCATCAAAAAGTCTTTTCCATCAAAGCAATCGAAACACTCACGCGCAAAACACATTCAAGTCTTCTCAATCTAAAAACATTATTCAAGTCTCCTCATAACAGCAACAATGACCGACACTACCCTCCATCAAATCTCACACGCCGTCCAGCACGGTGCAGGTCACTTCCACTCCGACCCAGCCGTTGCCGATCTAGAGCACCAGGTGGCAACCCTCGTCCAGAGAGTCGAGCTTCAGGAGAAGCAGGCCGCAAAGCTACAGCATTTTGTCATCGACCAGGGCAGCTGGCACACCAACGATGTGCGATCCTGGCAGAAGCCCGAGGAGAAGACCTCTGGCCGCGTCAACTTCTCCCAGAAGTTTAGCCAGGTGCCCAAGGTGACTGTGAGCTTGCGCTCCGTGGATACCAACAAGGATTACAATACCAGGGTGAAGGTCTACACGTCCGACATCGACAAGACTGGTTTCACCATTCACGCTGACTCGTGGAGTAACACCCAGCTGTATTCCGCTGGCGTGTCCTGGGTTGCGATTGGGCAGTAAACAGTCGGTGGAGGAGGAGATGTCTGTTGTTTCTCTCATGCCTATTTTAGTTTGAAAAAGAATAAAACAAGCCAAAACCTCTACTCTGTCCTGAAACGGGGGGAAGAGTGAATAGCGTGATGTGCTCAACATAATCCCACTTGTCCTTGAATAGATCTAAACAATGATCTATATCGGACAATTCTTGGTAATATTATCATTTTAAATAGTAGGGTGTCACAGTTGGAGGATTATCTAAAGTACGCTGCTGCAGAAAAGACTGTGATTCTCGGGTTCTATTCCAAAACTCAAATTATTTGCTTCTACTTGCTAACATATATAGAAGTGTAAATAGCGCAACCTCCTCCGACAGACTTTTAAAATCTCTGAATCAGGGTGGACAAATTATTTGCTAGATCTCCCAATCTCGTTAAATAGCAAAGCGGAACCTGGGGCTGCGCTCGCCCATTGCCTCAATCTCCTCCTCTGTCTTACCCTCCATGAGGTAATCCTGCTTTCCCTCGTCTCGCAACTTGTTCTGGCGGTTGAAGTGCCAGGTGAGGATGATGTTGAGCAGGAGGGAGAAGAAAAGCATGCCCATACTAGCAGCATATCCGGGCCGGTAGTGGGGGCTGTACTTGCTATCAAAGAGGAATGGCGAGGCGACTCCGGATGAGTTACCGATGGTCAGGTGCATTCCGGTAGAGAAGGCACGCTTCCCGTACCGAGGGTTGTTGGTGGGCACCCAGGCGAAGGAGATGCCTGCTGCGGCGAAGATGCCGACGGAAACGAAGAAGGTCCCTGCGTACGACACGCCGTTGCCAGCGTTGGCCAGGAGCATGGCGTAGCCGATCATGGAGGAGACGATGCCTGCCATGATGAAGAAGCCTCGGTATTGTGTCTTGTCACTGAAGAAGGCAAAGATGATGTAGACGATGGCGCCCACGGCGTAGACGGGGACGGTCATTGCCTGAACAACGGCGGCATCCCACTGACCCATGTCCCTGATGATGGTAGGAAGGAACACGACGAAGGAGTAGAGCATGGTGAGCAGAGGGAAGAGGGCGAAGCAAAAGGCCCAGGTGGTCCAGTCCTTGACACCATCCATCACGTCGGACTTGACGATATTACGGAAGTTGTAAGCCTTGCCAATCTGAGACTCGTGGATGCGGCGTAGGTTCTCCTTGTCCTCGTCGGTGAGGAACTTGGCCGTTTCAGGGCTGTTGGGGAGGACAAATGGGATAACAATGCCGGTTAAGATGGTGGGGGCGCCGTTGATGAGGATGATCCATCTCCACGCGCGCCAGCCCGAGGCACCATGCATGAAGCTGATGCCGTAGGCGACCAGGCCGCCAGCGACACCAGAAAGGGCAGCGGTCGAGTAGAAGCAGGCGATACGGAGGGCCAGGCTCTTTCGGCCGTAGAACATCGAGAGGTATAGCACGACACCGGGGAAGAATCCAGCCTCCATCAGGCCCAAGAGAAGGCGGCAGGCGATGAGTGAACCAAGGTTGTTGACCCACGCGCTAAACGTGGCAATGATTCCCCATGCGAGGGTGAGACCGGCCAGGTAACGGGCTGGCTGCATTTTCTTGATAATCATATTTGAGGGAGCCTCGAACAGCTGGCATACAGTTAGCAAGGAGAAAATCCAAAACTGGAAGAGATCATCTTACACAATAGGTGACGAATAGAATCGAGACGGCCAGCTGGAACTCGTTGCCGCTGAGCCCCAGCTCCTCTTCCATGCCAAAGAGACGGGCATTTCCAATGTTCACTATGGTGGAGAGGTAATATTAGCCACAGTTCTAGGTATGGTGGTCATAGGAGGAGCCCGCGCCATCAAGATGCTTACCTCGATCCATCATGTTCATCAGATATACCCACATCACCATGGGGATGATGCGCATGTCCATCTTTCGCAGGACGGTGCGCTCTGCGGCTGGGTCGAGGTAGTCATCGACTCCAGGGGCCTGCTCCAGCCTCTCAGTCTTGAGTGACGAGGAGTCAGTATCCTTCTGAGGCGTGGATATGCCGTCCCTGGGGACCTGCTTCTCATCGACGTCTGCCATGTTGTGGGAACCGGTATGTGGGATAACAGTAAGGAGGATCTTTAGATATAAGGTTGCAGTGATGGACAAGGAGTAGTATCCAGATATCAAGAAAAAGGCTGGGGGGAAGCGGCGCTTTATATCGGATGGGACGTGGGACAACAAAAAAAAAGTCTAAAGCAAATAAAGTGTGGCTAGAGCAGGCGTAGTGCTTGTGCCAAGTGGGTGACTCGGGGACGAAAGCAAGGGGTAATCTACGAGGATGGGGCAAGGTTTCCAGGGTGTTTATCCACAGAGTTCAACGATGGGGACACGAGTCCGAGATCTTTGGCTGGGATTGGGCCAATACGTTGAGAGAATTTGCTACCCTTCTCAATACTTTGTCCAAGAACTGAAGCGATGTACATGCGTCGGCTGAATGTGAAAGCTCCAATACAACCCTCCAGGGTCACAGGTGCCTTTCTGGCGAAGATTCGTGTCAATGACGCCCTCGAGGTGAGCAGATCAGCCACATCCGTCACGCATGTTTGGGGTTACCGAGCATTGCCGCTCTTTCGAGGGTGTTCCAGGGGTTTATCTGTCCTTATTCTTACTAGTCTTCCATCTGTCCGTCTAGAAGAAACCTAATACGCTTGTCTGACACCCTTTACACTGAGCGTTAGCCGGTTGGGAGAAGAATCTGCTTCCCCGCGCGTGCCAAGTGCTTGTTCCAAGGATATTAGCCAGCGCCAAGCATAGCCCAAAATGGGCCCCCCCCTCGAAGGACGAATAATAATCTAGCTATTCAATCTTAAGATGCGTAAAAACAAAGCGTAGTGAGATCTCAAGATGGCAGTGCAAGTGAGGATTCAACGAGGAATGGGGAGGCGGGGGATGGGGAATGGGGTTACCCCGTGGAGAGACGACTTGGCAAACCGCGAGGTGTTTCGAGTCGACTTATTCTCTCATTCATGCCGATCATCCGGTATCATGACTATATACCCATAATGGCCAGATGGATGTGCTGGTGCTACATAATGCACGTTCCCAAAAGATTCATCGTTGGAGAGCCAAATATGGACGTGTGTCCATGCGGGGGACATGTGTTCACTCTGCCATCGCCTCAGAAGTCGGCGCTTCCTACAGCCTCCGTGCATCCTGAGGACTAGTTGCCGAGTACTACGGGTAGAAGAAGTGCTGTTTTCTCTTCTCATTTAGTACTGAGATTACCCAGGTCAAGGCTCTCGTCATAAAACGAGAGTGTTCCAAATTATGTCATAGAAACGTGAACCCGCCATGATTCAGTTCAAGTCAGAAGTAGACATAGGCATTATTCAGGTGGGTGATAAACTACCACACCACCATCCCTATGCGGTAAGATGTGATGTGCTGTTCTTTTTGCTGCTCTGGTGAGGGGGTAAAGGGGAGCGAAGGTTGGAAAGGTCATGGGGGAAGGCAACCTCCCCAAACTTCCCCCCATTTCCCCCATACTACTAGGATTGGATGGCGGAACAGGGGGCCTAGTCGAGGCAGCGGTGAAAGAAATCCAAGCAAGGAGGGTGGGAACACGGCAGAGGGTGCAAGGGTGTTGTTGACCGTGGCGTTTGCCTACCATCCCTCGTTCTCTCTCCGCCTAAGCCAAAAGAACCTACGGATGCGAGTTGCAGGCGACCGAATTTTGACGCTAACTAGTAACTATTATGCTTTTAATTAAGCTTATGGCATTCCCTCGGCACTGAGTGCGCACAAGAGGCTCAACCGAGCCAGCCTAAAGCAGGCCATGACAGGGCTCAGTTTGTGCTACACCAACGTCAGATTTGAGTTTCCACTGTGCTTGCTTTGTTCACTCACTTCGGGGTTCAAGCATAGAGTTGCAGACCCAGAGTATATGGTTGCGGCATATTTCTTGAACACTCCAGGCCCATCTCCCCCAGAATCTGTCCCAGCCTGGGGATTCAGCGGACCCTCGTGCCGAGTGTCATCATGTAGCCCTCCTAAACACGACGCTGGCCGGTGATTGGAGAGATGTGCCTCCGCAGGTGTGGCATGATGGAGAACACTGACCCCTCTCTCCACTCACAAAGCAACGGACCAGACAAGACAAGACCACAATCAAACAGTGCGGGGGGAGCGTGTGAGCAAGCAAGCCAGCGGACTTGGCCCACCGGCGCCACGAGCGTAGCATTCCAAGTGCAGAGCATCGTGCTGTATGTGGAGAGGAGGCCAAGAGCCAAGCAAATAGCAAGATTGCCTGGGCTGGGCGCAGCAGATTTAGCACTGTTCTCCCCTCCATCTTGATTTCTAGCCTGCCTGAATCCATGATCCATCGTTGGCCCCCTCCAGGGAGTAGTCTACACCCTTTACATGGGATGATGTTCAAATTGAGTAGGAAATGCGGGAGGCTCCACACATCCCCATGTTTTCCCCCTCAGCAACTCATCTTCTGCTAATGACTCATTGGCTTAACAAACCTTGAGCTCGTGCCTCATCTTGTCTTTTTCCGTCATCTGCACATCGGTCACAGTCCTTGTCTGGCAAAACCCCCGCGCAGTGGCTTTTCCCTTCGCCCGTCACGTCTTGGCAGGAAAGAAAGCTGGCTCTCCGGGCCACACCCACACGGCGCGTAGATGTGCCCGGGCGCTGATAAATATGTTTTCAAGACATGAGAGCTAGCGTGGCTATGATGAACTGGCTGTTCGCCGAGAGACGATCATGGACGGAGAACCAAGGCTTTGGTATTCAGGATGCCCAACTCCACGCCAAGAGTCCCAGGACTGACCCTTTGGAGGGCTGCGTTCTGTTATTCTGACAGGCAAGCGAAGCTAAACGCTGAACAAGGAAAACTTGGCCGGGTCCAATGAAGCAGGCCTACCAGCCAAACCACATACTCAACCATCTACCCCAAACCCGAAGCGACACGTGTAAGACCCTACTTCCAACTGGCCTCAGTTCCATCATGCGAGTTCGACAGTGGATAAAAGTCGAAGCGAATGGAGAAAACAATGTGCATCAACAATGGCAAATGAGTGCAGTTCTCTTCTTTTACAACCCAAGGGGCCTGACATGAATAATGCATACATGTACCGAAGGCACCGTCATCGCTCCTCTGCCAAGGCCCAACTGTAGGGCCCTAAGGCATCAGCTGAGCGCTAAATTACAGGGCACTGAACCATTATCAATCATTGATAATGCCCTCCTCCTCAATGGAGTTGAGTTGGTCTTGGCCCTTAGGTGCGTGCACTCAGGCTATGACGCGTCGTAATTAGCGGCCACCCAAGACTGCCTAATGCGAGCGATACTTTAGTATTTTACTTCCATCCAATCCTTTTCCTGCCTTTTCTGGAGCAGGAGGAGATGAAAGAATGCGCGTTCGCCGATGACCAAACACACTGTCAAAAACCATAGGTAGCGGACTCCGGAATGATGAGCTGACTAAGCTTGAGCTGGTCATGTGACTATCACCACCATCTGTCGTGTCACGTGATCTGGCGATCATTTCCTGTTCCCATTTCTCCAGGCTCCAGCCACCCACTTTTCCCCTCCACCATCATCGTGCCATCCTTCTCAGCATTCACGCCTCATCGCGAAATTGTTTTCTATCGCTTCCTGTCCGCAAAACCCAGCTCTCCTACGAAGACACTTTCCTCTAGGTCATCTTGCAACCAGGCCGCTGTAAAATTCCGTTGTCTACTTGAGGCGCGCGCGCTTCAAAAGACACGGGGCCCTGTTCTTTGTGGAGATACTTGGATGTGAAGGTCGTCACACGGGAAGTTGGATGAGCAGGCCACCTCGTGTTTTCCTCTCTTATAGTTTTCCCTTGCGCGCTTTCCATCATAGACGCTTTCCGACAACCAGAGTCAAGGCTGCTCTCTCGACGCCAAAGCCTGGGTGGGCGGGTTCTTGTCATTCTCTGAATGGCAAGGGTTTTACTTTTCGCAAGTCTTTTTGTGTTTCGTATTTCCTACTGACATGACAGCCTCACCAGTGGCGAGTGACGATGCCTCTCAATAAAGATCCCCCAGCGACTCTAGATGACCAGCTCATCTCAGACGAAGCCACCACTCAAGAAAACTCTCCCCGCCGACCTTCCCCCCAGAAACCCCAAGTGTTTGACACGACCACGAACAACGATCTGAGCCGTGAACCGACGTCCCGGTCAAAACCCCCTCCCACTCCCGTCCACCACGAATCTCTTCGTATACCGGGCCAGTCGGCGGTTGTCTCCTGGTTCAACCAGCAACGCCAAGAAACCATCCTGAGCCACGATGTCGCAAGCGCATTCATCCAGCACGACGTAAAACCGAAGAACACAGCTTTCTTTCGACTCAGAGTCAAAGTCGGCCAAACTTCACGGCGCACCCCCAAGCACGTCTACCTCTTCATACCCCCCGAACACATTCAATCACTCTCTCTTCATGACGAAACCGAGACGCCGCAGGCTGGATCCAAAACAAAGGCTGCTATTCGCAGGGCAGTGGGCACGGCTGGTGTATCATGCTTGTCCTTTGAGATGCGGAAGCCTTGCTTGTTGGTCAGCCCCAAGGATTTAGACCATAGCCCTCAAAGCAATGAACATCATCAGTCTTCCCATTTCGTGAACATGCTAGACACCGTAAAGCAACTGTCCTCGCAAAGAACCTTTGTTGTGTACCTCCCTCGCACCACTATTCCCAATGGCCCGCTGCTGTCCTTGTGCCAGGCGGTGTCGTCTCCTGGTCTTTTGGCCTCCGACCCGACCTTGAATGATATCAACGGTCTCTATGGAGGCCGAGGCGGCGTAATCATCGGGCAGGGGTCCAATGATAATGCCATTCCTTCAGTACTTCGCTTTGAGCCCCAAGATGGACCTACGGACGAAGGACTACCTCCCGCTTACGAACACACCGGCCCTGCTCCTCCGCCTGTGTTTACTACCCTAAATAAAGGTACGCAAGTGTCGATGCAGCTTATTCTAGTATGTACCTGAGTATTAACGCGATGTAAAGGCCAACCGCGGCAAGCAGGGAACAAGCGCCGACGAACAGCGAGCTCAGAAATACCAACACCCGCCACCTCCTCCAAGTGTCCGGCCGTCGCTGTAGAGCCATCATCTACCACCCTCGACATGATCATGGCTCGTATGGAGCAAGGCTTTGGCCAAATCAACACGCGTCTCACCGATATAGAACTCCGCATAGGCGGTATCGAGTCCCGCTTAACACAGCTAGAATCCCAGTCCTCGAACTGCCCCCAAGACGAAAACATAGATGATTTACGATACGATCTCGAGAAGCAGATTGGAGAATTAAGAGAGGAAGCGGAAGATTTACTTGAGAACAGGGTCGAGGAGGGCATTGCGGATGCGAAGAGAGAGCTGACGGATTATGTAGAGGATCAGGTCGATGGTGCAAAGGGAGATATCATGCGCAAATTGGCGGAATCTTCTGTGCAATGTTCGGTCAACTTTGACTTCAGATGAAACCTATCTAATGAGAATCAAACAAAACTTGTCAAACGGATGATGACATGCCACTTCACCCACCCTCCATGTCAATACCTGAATTCTCGGTGCTTGCTCATTGTGTTCTCCTTTCGTGGAAAGCAACAATCGCATGGAAATTGAAATCTCATCAGAGAGCATCCTGGAGATGATCAACTCTTGAACGTTGTGCCACCACTTCATCTCGTAGTTGGCCTCACTGGGTGTGAACGCTCAAAGCTACATCCTGCAAGCCTTCGATCTCCTTGACCAGATTCTTCCCCCATTCCAGGATCCTCTGTGTGTCCTTCCCTAGTGGAAGCCTCAAGCCAATATCCCGCTCTGCAAACATGCCAGTCCGATCAACCGCCTCGACAATGCGAGCTGCCGAAAGCTGAGGGCTGGCACCCTGCTGCTGAACCCGCTCATCGTCCACCACATAACCAAGAATTTTATCCGCTACCGTGCCCTTGTATGGCTCGCTGACAGGGACAGTCACTCCTGATCCCGCCGTGTCCACAAACTCGGTCGTCATGGTACCAGGGTCAACGATCAGTGTACGGATATTGAAGGGCTCAACCTCTGGGGCAAAGCCCTCGGTGAAACCTATTGCGAGACCCAGCGTCAGCTCTCCGCTCTCCACACTTAGGCAAGTCATACTAACCCTCAAGAGCATGCTTTGTGGCGGAATACGCAGTTATTCCTGGAGGACTTAGGAATCCGTCCACGCTGCTAACATTGACAATGGTACCGCCGCCCTGGCTGCGCATCACCGGAGTCACGGCGCGGCAGACTCGAATAGGGCCGAGAACATTCACCTCAAAAACGTCTCGGATTGCCTCGATGCTGGTTAGGTTAGCTCTGGGTCGATCCGCAACGAAGGGGGCAGCCAACTTAATATCCTCGGCAGTCCCGCCAAGGCCGTATCCAGCATTGTTGATGACCACGTCTATCTTCCCCTGGCGATCTTTGACAGCCGCTATGGTGGCCTCAATGTCTTTAGACGTCATGTCCAGGTCCACCCACGTGCCGCCGAGGTTTTCAATCTCAGCAGTTTGGGGAGTTGGCTTGGAACTTCGTCGGCCTGCCACGACAACATGTCCTGCTTTCGCAGCAGCCTTGGCAAGTTCAAATCCCAAGCCGCGCGAGGCGCCCGTAATGAGCCAGACCTTGGGAGAAGACATTCTAATGTATTCTTTTGAAAGAATTGTTGGTAAGGTTAAGTATCTTGACAAAAAGATGGTTGAAGGAGAATTGTGAATGAGCTCTGGGATCAATTGATGAATTTACTGAAAAAGAGCGAGATTCCAGTCTCTTTATATACGCATTTCCATGGCGTACAGATAGTCTTCAAACCGCAGATTTGCATGCTCTTCACATTGATTCAATCTACTGATGCCTTTGATCAACCTAACTATCACGAACCAGATTGGTGACTTTAGGCATTTGCCGAATCTGGAAATTGCATAACTTGTGGAACGATTTGATACTGGCCACCATTAAGGTTGTTGAGGATGACAAAATAATCCTTTCATGGACTAGCGCTGACAACGAACATCATGGATTCGAGTTGACGAGGAGCATGCCCAAGAGATGATCCCGCTACATCCGACCACGTTCTTGAATCATATGAGCCGGCCCAATGTGAATTCTCAACTCCGTATGCAGATGGCCAAGATTCAGTACGCAAAATGGACAAGAGACATGGTGAGCGAATATTGATCCCGAAACTCGATGGCAGGACCCTAACCCCGATAGACTACACAGCCCTGTCGTTTATCGTGACTACTCCCACCCAGAAACAAACCAGATGCCAAAGCCGGCAGATAAAGAAGCATGCTGCTAAAGTATGTCCTCCGCGGCAGCGTCCACGAAAACCCAGATCACGGGGACCGTCAAAACACAACGAGCACACGCGAACAATTAATAGAGTATTGGCCCCGGCTGAGCAGAAGAGAGTAATGCCGACATCCAGTTATGCACCAATATTAGAGCTAACAATGACCATTACCTCTGGGGAAAGCGTGTCCTCTGTCCCTGGTCCCTGCTCATTACATAGTCTGGCTACATGTTTGTCTGGCCCCAGTCCGCCCCAACTCTGATGCCTACCCCGGCTTATCCTACTACAGTTTTCTCTCTGGTATCGCCAGAACTGTATCCTCAAGAGCTCTGCATTGAGCCTGACGGGAAGAATGATGTGTACTGGATGGGGACAGCCTTTCACGACCAAGTATACCTGCATGCCATTCTTGCATTAACTGGAGTTTTCTTCGATACACACCAAGTGGGAAGTCACACTTCCGAGCCTTACAAACATTCCATCAAAGCACTTCAACTTCTCCAAGACCGGTTGTTCGTCATGAAGGAATCAGACTGCTTTTCAGACGCGACTATCATGGCGATATTCGCCTTGGCCTCCGCGGCCGATATTGCGGATGACCTACCAACCGTTGAGCGTCATCTCCGTGGCTTGAAAAGAATCATCGATATTAGAGGTGGGATGGGGAGCCTACGCACCAATACCCCTGACCTTCTTGGCAAGATCTGCAGGTTCGTTTAACTCATGACGCTCATATTTTCGATGCAGACGCCAATAAGTGACATCAGACTTGACCTCAGCCTGGCTGTGAAGACTTGGAGGCCACCCGTGTTTTTCAATGAATTGATATCCTGGGGTCCCTACCTCGTGATATCCCGCGCCCCTCGAGACGCCAACGATGAGACGATATCCTGGTGGATCACTGACAACCTGGAACCGAGGCTGTGTACAATATGGGAGGACTTGAGACAGTTTCGCAGAATGAGCATCTTCGCCAACGAAACGAGCCATAAGATTCCAAAGGACACGTTTAGCGAACTGATGGTTTCCCTCTTATATCGCCTCGTCAATCTCTCCTATGACTTGGACTCGCCCAACGAAGTAGTACGGCTCGGCATGCTAGGATATGTATCCTCCATCTTCCTTCAATGGGGGAAAGGGGTGGAGTTGCACCACTTACGGCGCATGCTAGGAGCAACTTTGAAAGCGATTCGTCCTGGAATAAGTGACATCCCCACGCCGGCAAGATTGTGGCTGTTCCTCACGTGGCATCTTCTCCGTCCCCCGGAGCAGGAGATGGGGATGTTGGACGGGTTGCTTGGATCAATGTCTCGTGATGACACCCCGTTGATTTGGTCTCATGTACAAGGTTTGCTTCGATCATCTGTGTGGATTGGCCATATGCATGATACGGAAGGGGAAGCCGTATATCGGCGTGCGATTCTGCGGATGTCATCAACGGAATAAGGCTTTGACATGGGCTCTATCAGAATAGAGCCTCCATATATTACAATATTAGATACATCCAATACCCATATCCATCTATTTTCTAAAATGCCCAGCTTCCATAAATAACTCCCCATTTTAAGCATATCGCTTCCCGGGCTCAACACAATCAACATGGTAATTAGAAAAGGTACAGTGTCCCACGCCGTCCTTCCCTTCCTCGGGTGGTACGACGACCCCCCATTTCACAGGCTCAAAGATGGTTGTTCCCTCCAGCACGTGGCACGAGGCCGAGATGGCCGCACTGCAGCTCCCGGCCAAGGGCATCCCTTCTCTGAGCCGAAACCTGCCTATCACTACGGCGAGCGTGAACACGACCGCAACCACAAAGCCGGTCAGGAAGATTGCCATCGGGGAGAATGCTGCGGTGGTGGTGATCATCGCGTCTTGTGTAGTAGTTGGATCTTGCTTTTGGCTGCTGGTCAGTTTCCATGTGCGCATTTCATAGATCTGCGCAATGAAGAAGCTCTGAGAGATGAGCCAGTGCATCAGCACTGAAAGCGCCATCATAGGGACACTGTACCGGTAGGGCAGCTGGAGGAAGAAGGTAGATCGCTGCCCACCCGTGGGAAAGGAGACTCTAAGGGGACGGTGAAGATTATACCCGTAGTTGGACCATTCAGAAGCCGCAGACATGGCGGTGACGACGCCGTTGAGGATGAGATAGAGAAATGAGAGAAGAAGCTGCGGCATGTTGGTAATAAGCACGGTTGCAATCACTGCAGCCTCGCCAGTTCCGGGAACGCCCCATGATTCTATCATCGTGTGTGGAGTGAGAGCACCGACGCCTAGAGACCACAAGCTATTGAAGTCTCCCTTCCCATAATTGTATTTCAAACTTGCGACCGCAAATCCAAGCAGCCCAAATATAACAATTAATGCCAACAGAGTCCTGCAAAGAGATGTCACGTCAGGAAAACGATACGCAACAGCGGATGGAACTGATAACAGTGGATATAAACTCACATAAGGGATGCAACAATCCATCGCCGCCAGCTAACAGCAGCGGACCGTTTTCTTGGCTGGGGTTGATACTCCTTCGCTGGTATCACTTGAGACTCGTGGGAGTTGATGATCTCTCGCGCCGAAAGCAAGCACATGCCTTTCGTGGATGGTTCTGGCCGCTCTATGAAAGACGCGGCAGCATCTCCGACAGTCACCAACGGCTCCTGGTTGATGAGGTTGCTGGCCGCCATGATAGCTATCACTATTACCTTGACGGCGTTGAAAGCAATGACGACACCGATCAGGCTGAGTGCAACCTGGAGGTGGCATTTTGGGGCTATCTTTTCGCTGAGGCAATATTTGACTTTGGCTCCGCCCAGAGTCCATTCATTCGGTGATAGCTGGTCTTTCCAAGCCCCGTCGCTACACAGCTTAGAGATTTGTTTATAGTTTTCTTCCCCATCGTAGTAAGATGGCAGTTGAGAGCAAATCCAACCGTACCAGTTTGTGAGCTTCGTCGTGGCCAAGAACTCGGTTGCATAGTTGTACTGGGCGTAGAGGGTCGTTCCTTGTGCGTTTTCGCAACGGTCATAGTAGTAGTTGTACATAAATTTACTGAAGGTGCTGCAATTCTGAAGATCCTCGACGACCACCACGACGGCGCCTCTGTCCTCGACCAAGGTTTTTGCATATGCGTTGAGGCAATCATCACTGGACAGCTTCTCAAATTGGTCGGTGTGCATGAGCCGATCCTGGATGCTATCCGGTGTGTCGACCTGCCCAGTCGCGGCCGTGAACATAGTCTTGTTCCAAGATGCTCCAGTGGTGAAGGATTCATTGGCAATAAAGATGGGATAAAGATTGTTGACGGTGGAGACGAAGAATATGGAGTTGTACCTATGACAATGGTTAGCATGATGCCATTCCAGCAAGCAATGTATGTATTGCCACCCACACAAGATGAAGAGGAATCGATGTGAGACCTAGACAGAACCAGAAGAATAGCCGCTTCTTCTGTATGAACCGAAGGTTGCGGACACTGGGCACGCCAATGTCGAGATAGATGCCCCGTGCGTGAGCTTTGTCGACATCATGGCGAGTAGGGGCACTAATGGTTTGCATGCAGTAGTTGCTTGCGCCCAGAAGAAGCGTGCTGACGACGTTGATGAGCAGATGGACGATGATCCCAAGCTTCTTGATATATGTGCAGTCGCCCGACTTGGCCGGTGCAATGTTGCCCGTGTACCCATTGCGGCGAAGCTGTGCACCAAAGGCGGCAAGCAACGAGGAGTTCCCGAGGAGAATGATGAGCGTCAGGCCAGCAGCAATCGTGGTCCCCAATTTCCACCCCGTCGGTTTGCGTTGCGAGCATGTTCTGTTGGGTTTCCTTGGCGGTCGTTTGCCAAAGTTGAACCAACCCCGAGATTTATGAGTAGTGCCAGCATTAAATCCTGAGGAATACGCCTCCGTGTTGTCAAAAGGAAATGGCGAGCCTTCATGTTGGATTAATGGCGAGAGTGGGCTGTAGCTGATCTCGGCCTCGGTTTTTGAGAACGAACCTCGACGCGTCCCGAGATCGCCCTCGAACGTGTCCAAAGTGATGCTGGACCCGGCCACAGGCTTCCTACTCCTGCCCAGGTTCTGGTATAGGGCTGGCATGCTTCAACCGCACAAGATGTGCCAAGGGTTTGTGCCGCGCCACCTTTCAATTGATCGGCCTTTTTCCACAATGAGTTCAAATTTGCGGGGAGGAAAGATCTTATATTGAGAATTTGAGATTCATTTCGACGGTAGCATAACAGGGATAAGAATAACGCCCTGAGGAACCCACCGTTGCCTTATTTTTGAAACGCCGGGACGCTGGTTGCTGGGTCTTTGGTGGCCCCTTGGGCCAATGACAAGGGGGCAAACCGGGTAGTTTTCTGCTCCAAATCAGCTGTGGGATTCATGCTGTTCTAAATCAGGCATAACCGTGTGAGTTTTCGCGCCCGCCCTTGCCGTAAGCGCACTGAAGTTCCTTTCCATCAGGTTTCGGTCCCCCCTATCGCCCTGCAGGGCGGCCACATTTCCCTGATGATACGCGGCACCTGGGTGGCGTATGTTTGCCCACTGTCCCCAATATAGGGCTGACTGTAACCAGAGTTGGAGGGTTGGAACTTGGGGGTCAAGCAAGCGAGCGTGTCTTGCCGAAGGATGCTCGCCTCCTTGACCACCAATACAGAGACTTATGATATGAGGAGCATCAGTTAATTGGTAGGGTGGGCGCCCAATGTCACATTGAAGCCCTGCAATTATGCAATGAAGCACCCAAAATCAATCAACCCTAAATGCCAATTGAACTCTATGCTACGACCGGCCACTCTCCTTCATTGCTATTGACGATGCCATTGCTCTGAGCATTTCCGTGTCTCTCGGATATTTGCGCTGAAACCTGTCCGTAGTCCACAAAAGGTCCGCCAATTGGTTGAACTCGTCTCCCTGTGCCGCCTCGAGGGAGGGAAGCACAATACGACCAAGATAACCAGCGGATATTGGATCCAGGCTGGCCGCATACGGGAGAAACATCCAATTCCTTTCACACTCGTCCCGGTATGCCCTGTAAGCTCCCGCGTCTGGTGTCCCATACAATGCACCAAGGTCGAAGATCAGCCGTAAGAGCACCCGCCTGATCGCATGGATCCCAACCAGAGCTTGGGCTAAGCGCGCTGACGCGAAGTCAAACGACTTGCCGAGGTGGAAGTTCGGGTCTGACAGCTCTCTCATATGGCCGAGAGGTGTGGCTCTGGCTACGACCCTATCTATTACGGACTGCAGCAGCGTTTCATGGGTGCATAAGTCCTCCACCAGGCTGGCCATCCGCTCAACCATGCCATTGGGATCCGTCTGGATTACGCGGAATTCTTGAATCCATGACGCAAGTAAGCTGAATGACCTGTTGATGGTGGTGTACTCGCCGTCAAAACACTGCAGCTCTTCGACGAACACAACCAGTCGCATGATGTCAGGCTCCTGTACTGTGCTTCCCCATAGCAACCTGAGAACAGGGTTTTCTGCACCGCTGAGGGCCAGAAATGTCTTTTATGAGAGTCAGTAAGGTGCTGAAGATTGAATATATGATAAGGAACCCTGGATCAGCTTACCAGCTCCCATTGGCTCTTGAAGGCGAGTGACAGATCAAGCCTGTCGCCCACGTCCAAGGACCCTTTACCCAACATTACATGTTCGATGCCTCGCCGATGGGATTCAAAGCTGTGCGCCTCTCCATTGCTGAACAGCGTGCCTATCCGTTCAAACATAATCATGGCACCCAGTGTCTCTACAGTGTATAACTGAGGTCCGTTTATGGCCCTCTGCAAGCTTCTGATGGCTTTCGGATACAGGCTCGTTGCCAGCAGCTGGTCCACCGGCCTCCCACGGTTGTATTCGCTCCAGGCGGAACAGAATAATGCGGTACAGTCACGGAGACAGTCGCTCTGGGAGAGCCGCTGGGGGAGATGCGGCAGGTAGCTCATCTGCATCGCCACACCGGTGTCTTCGCCATGTTTGAGCAGACTGACGAGCCGAGAAGAAACGCGTTCGGAGACCGTTGTCGGGGTGGCTCGAGGGGCCTGGAGGCGGAAAACACCAAACGACGCGTTTCCGCCATCGGAGTGAGGGCGCAAGGGACCTCTTCTGATCATGACGCGAGAGCCATTGGGTGGTAGCGAGCCCTCGGGCGAATGATTCTTCGCAGGGTCAGGGGATACCGAGCTATCCGACCGGCTGCGTTTACCGCCGTCAACGAACTTCAGAAGCGACGATGGTCCCGAGCAAACCTTGCGGGCGGCTTTGCAGGTATAGCATGTTGGCCAGTTTTGATCACACTGTAATTATGGTTCACCTCTTAGCCGTCCCTCCCTGTGCATTTTGTCTATGGATGCGTTTCCTCACCCTTGATTTCCTCTGCTTGCATAAGCGGCAGGCTTGTGATGTTCTGACACCGGGCATGTCGATCCAGGGCGGCAGGCGAGCGAGATTGAGCACAGATTCTGGGGGTGATATGATGGCCGTAATCGTGGTTAAATGAGAAATATGGACAGATCCACCCCCTTGCGGTGCACTGACTCGCAGATGATCCTGCTACAGTAGAGCGCTCCTTTCAATACATTAGCAGAGGCTCCTGTGAGAGACTTTAACTATGTAGAGCTATGAGAGAAAAGCAACGTGAATGAATTCAATTACCAGATTGATGACATCCCCTTGCCCTCGGTAACCCCTGTACAGGCCCAGCCGCTGCATGTTACTGAATTTATCTGCTACAAAGTACAAACCCATGGCAAATCTCCCGTAACAAGCTTCGCCCCGCCCGTGCTGTGAATCTGTCATCACAGTGAACCGGTGGCTCGGTTCATTCCGCTGATCAATTGCTGACGCAAGTTCTGGGGTGTCTCGATCGTCAAGGCAGGCAACAAGAATTCTTGCTGATGCCAGAGAGAACTAGTATCGTGAATATCGGGAGACCAAGTGGTAGACCCCTTAACTGACCTTGCGATCTCCGCCCTTGACAGAAGTGAAATCGACTCGGCCAGCCAGTATCAAGTCCATACATGGTGTAGAGAGTTGGAAAGAGAATAAATTATCTCGCACGAGCCACCTCTCTCACAGCCCACGGGATTATCTACACAAGTTCAAGCAGATGCCAAGTTACCAAGATTCTACGCACGCCCTACGACTATTGATAGGTCCAGTAAGCAGGGGCGGTGGCGCTACTTTGCCACTGTAATCTAAAGGCACAGGCACAGGCTGAGGGCCTCTTACCATTGCAACAATTGAGGTCTGCATTCAACATCAAGAGTGAAGTCCATAGTGTCTATTAGAATTCTCTGCATGTTGTCAAATATCCCCTCGACAGCCTCATCGCAAGCACGGAGGCAAACACTCTTGTTGCGTTCCATGAAACGGTGGGCGAACCCCTGGATTATTAGTTGGCAATTATCCACCACTACCTAGATACCCCACTCAACACTCGACATTTCAAACCGCGCAGTTGTTCGTTTGTGGTTGTCGCATTGAATCTTGTTCTCGCCCTCGGCGTCGTTATCATGGAGCCAGTATCATTTGGACAGCTGCCAGTTGACATACTCAACCATATCATTAACCAGGTTTGTAACCCTAGGCCACCGCCCTCAGCCCTCTCACATTGAGGCTCAAGGGACCAACTGACCTCCAATTGGCAGATCGACGGACCGGAATTAGTCTCATTCTCTCAAGCATCTAAATGGGCACGGGCATTAACAGCACGAGCCCTTTGGAGGGCGATCCGAATCCCAGTTGTAAACGACGATGAAGGACAACCATTGGGTCTCCGGCCACCGGGCCTCTGTCTCCCAAACCCAATGATGCCAACTAGGCTCCGATTCTATGACTATCTTGCGGATCAAAAAGATCCCTCTTGTGTTCATTCAAGAAATTCCTATCCTCACATGCGTAATAGACCGCAATCGCACAGCCGTGACGCTCTCTCACCGCTAGTTGATGATGCCATCTCAGTGCTAGAGAAGCTCGAGATCAATTCACTTGATACCTTTAGGTATGGCTATGCAATCCGAAAAATTCGTTCTTGGGCCTGGATTTCAAGCAAGACAGGTTAACATTCTTTTCAAGTTGGCACACGGGCACGTGCCTACCGACTAAGATATTTGGCGATCAAGGTATACTGTCACTTCAACAGTCTTCTTTGCGATCTCTCAGCATCATTAGCGACTCGGCCTGTCAGAGATTATCTAGCATTACTCTTTCTCATTTCAAGAGTTTGAGAAGCCTCTCCTGGTCCGACGCCTCACCCTACAACCTCGAGGCCCTAGCTACTGCTATCCAGACAAATGCATCGCAGCTTGAAACACTCGAGGTCAATTTCATCAACTGGTCTAGGTTTTGGTATATAATTGAGGAGTCTGATGAGCCGTTCTTGCGTCTTGATACCAGCATTGAAGACGATGAAGACGAATTGTGGATCTGTGAGGACACATATTTCGAGGACGAGGTTCTCGGTCAGATGCGAAAGCCACTACAGCCCATGTTTTCGGTGTTGAGGAGTCTTTCACTAACCCAAGTTCATTTATCCGATCGTACAGTCTTAACCTTGAATATAGGCGCGCTCGAGTCCCTGACAATCCGATGGTGTGAGGGCTGGGTGGCCTTTCTGCGCAGCCTTGTCGAGCTCGGAGCACCCCTGAATCTCGACCACTTCGAGCTGCAGGCAGCACATCACGGGTGGGTTGGGGAATATCATGCGTTGCTGGCGAGATTCATAGAGGGTCTCACCGGGCCAAAGTCGCTTTCATTAGGCCAACTGGGAACTCACTCAAGCCACGGCGTGTGGAATCGACTTGTGCAGCACCAGAAAACGATCAGGCGTTTTGTGCATCAGCTAAACACCAAAGTTCTCTTTGAAAGCGACTCTCTTATTCAGGCGGAACATCTTACTGAGGAAGACTGGGATGGCATGAGACGGGAGCCATTCCGGAAAAACCCGTTCGCGAATTTCGAGTCGTTGGAGTTTTTGGGGGTGACTTGTGAGCCAGCTAAAATGGTATGGTCACGATCTGCAGTTACCCTTTCTTCGGTTACTCTGCTTACATTGTAATGAATCCGCAGAAAATTCTCACGATGCCGTTCGTAACCAAGTCCTGTCTTCGGGTTATCCACATCCGACGAACACTCAACTGCACACTATTGTGGCGGAATTGGGATTTGGATGAAGTAGTTGGTGATAGCCTCGATCCATGCGGTGACTCGAAGCAAGCGGAAATCGATGATACATACGGTCAGGGGGAGATGAAGATTGATTCCCTAAGAGGCGAGTTTCGTGATTTTGCAGAATGGGTTTTTGGGCCGGATGGTATTCACTCACTTAAAACCCTTGTATTCGGAGATCTCAGTCACATCTCCCACACGAGAAGATTCTCGCGTCACCAAGTAGTTCTTGTTCGGGACGAGTCTGGCAGTGGAAACTTCAAGATGGTTGACAGAGACGAAGCGGTGTTTACCTTCAAGCTTGGAGAGTGCCTAGATCGCATAGAGGCCTGCCCGAAGTGCACATTGACAAAATTGGACTGAGTCAAGGAGCCTCCAAGATGATTTTCTAGGATTATTATTCAAGAACACAATGTTTGGTTTTACCAAGTCTTTATTAGTTAAGTTACAGGCCTACTACCTGGTGACTTCTAGGAGCCAACACCCCAGAAATGGCAGTTTCATCACACTACTGAAACACTACCTCCGAGTGAACTGAGGTTACCTAGCCAGACTTGTTGTTGTTTTTGCGGTTGCTGTTTGGGGACTCACGTGATGAAATTTATTTACCTCTTTTTCTTGCTCTTTTTCAACCCCTCCACCTCTTCCTCAAACAGCGTTCACTTACCTTCTCTCACTTCACTTCCTACCTTCCTTCACCCACACCCCTGATTGTTCATTCATCAAAGCTCATTGTCTCTCATCCCCAACCATCTCCCATTCATCCTTCTATTCTGCTCACTTCTCTCATTTTGCTCATCGAAACAACAACAAGCGAGACTAGCTATCTCAACCACTACTTTGCCATCCGCCTTGCTCTTGCCGATCTGATAAACTCCGCTCTGCCGTACGCGGCTCGATCACGCCAACCATGGAGCTAATTTATATTAGCAATCGATCTTCTGAAGAAGGGCCCCTCACTCTGGATACGATTCCGGTTGAGATTCTCCATCATATCTGCACCTTCTTTTGTGACCACTGCGATCCGATGAAGAAGTCTCACATCGAGTACTGTTTCAACTACAACCCAAACAAGGGCAAGAAAGACTTGCTCAACTTGTGTCTGACATCACGAGCCTTGTGCACCGTGGCTCAAGGCGTGCTCTTCCATCACTTCTCCTTCGGACGCCACCTCATGCACAGCGGCCCCCTGGCATTCCGGCTCGTTGCCGCGTCTTTCCTCCAAGCCTTGTCGAACAAGCTACACCTCCGGGCCGTCGTCAAGGAGCTGAAGATCGAGACAAATCGAGACACCAGGTATCCGAAGATACTTGGTTTTGATTCATTGTCCAAGGCCAGCCGGCATAGCGCACGCCTCCTCCGGACGTTGGGAGCCGAGATCGGTATCCGGTTCCGCTACCATGAACTACAGCGCAGAGACTTGCGAGAGGCAATGGTCCAGCTCATGATCGCACTGTGCCCCAACGTCTCCAAGATGGAGATCCAGATCCCACGCTATTGGGCCTTTGATAAACTTACGGAACGCAACCTCCTCACACAGAGCAGCACTAACCAACAACCGCTTTCTTCGCTTCGGACCCTGGACGCACTTGTTGAGAGACTTCCCACCGACAACTGCAGAATCCCTCACGAGCTTTGCAACATGGCAGCTTTTGGAAATCCCTCCGAGCATGCTCTGGTTGCGGGTTCGGCTTCAAGACTGGAGACGCTCAAGTGCACACTCGGTGCTCTGGAGAATGCCACCGAGATGCCGCGACTGGAGGTGCTCAAATTGGATGTCCGGGGCTCATACTCTGACTTGAAGTCGCTGTTCACGAAGATTCCCAAGCTCCGAGAGCTGATCTACTGCTCCTCCAACAAGCACGGCCCGCTTCCGATTGAAATCAACGCCGCCTTGAGAAACCACCGCGAGACGCTCGAGGTTCTGGCGATCCATTTCTGGAAGGTCCCGTACGGGGATCTCGTCATCCTGGATCCGTTCATCGACAACACCGAATTCCGCCTCGGTCTCATGAGCGACTTCACAAACCTCAAGGTTCTCATCGTCGATGCTCTCGTGATCTAGAGGATCCGCGAAGCCGGCGAGAACAGGTCCTCCGAGGAGCCCTTCCAAACGATCAGCGATACCATCCCGGAGTCTCTGGAGATGCTTTGCGTCCACGCCATGGACATGGTTTCCCAGCCTGATTATCAGCCTCTCTTTGAGGTGGCGGACAGAGTTCGGGAGGGTAGGTTCAAGGCCCTGAAGCATGTTCTGTGGACCAGAAAGCAGAACAGGAGCTACCCGAATGGACTCGGCTATCTTGATCCTCAGCATGATTCCCTGAAGAGCGGAGCGTATCACATTGGCCCGGTGGATCCTGAGACTGCGGTGTCCTTGAAGAAGAGATACCCCATCCTGATGACGATGCAGCATAACTGCTATGTCTGATCGAGAGGAAGTCGTCGATGGTGTTTTGGTCACGAAGGACCATCCTAGAGTCTCAGGGATACAGAGAGACGCATACAACTATGAGAGAGATACGGAGATACAGAGAGAGAGATACAGAGAGAGATGTGGCTAGTGTGAAGAAGTGGCTATTAATCAAGTTGATACACGTTTGAAGAAATCAGTCTGGACTGGAAACAGGAATTGGGAACAGTTTGATGAGTTTTGTATGAAAAAAATACGGGGAGATAGCAGCAGGAGAGGTTAAGAGCGAATTTCGTGAACATGAAAAATACAAAAACAGACCAGAAAGCGAGAGTATGTTCTGAGCAGTTGACTTACGATCTAAAGAGGAGAAGTCTACCTACGGATGTCAATCCGACTCGTAGGAATCAACCATCCATTTTGGCTCCCGGTTTCTCCGTTCATAACTTGAATAATTCCGGGCTTGTGGCCACACGTCCAGTGCATTTCTCCAGCTCAAGGTTTTTCAGATTGAACGCGCTTTTGCAGTCGCGACCAACCTACCAAACCGGCAGTGGGGCCGAGTGCAGGAACAAGAGATGTCAGTTTGGATATGGAATGTCACCGACGCGATTGGAGACACGGACTGCTGATGGCCCTGGTCAATAACGCGACCCTTGGCATTTCCCAAGGTTCATTCAGGTAGATATTTTTGGAAGTGTATCTATATTTAGAGCCTACCCTATACTCGCTTGGCTGTGATTCATCCTCTCCGTTGCTATGTCCAGCCGACAGCTAAAATTGCGGTTTGGATTGATTCACTGTAATTCATAAATCAATCTCTGTTTTGGGCAACAATAAAGAGAGGTGTTTGAGACTTATTGATGTAGAATCTAAACAATGGGTGTCTGATGACACACACTGTAGGCGGATGTTTGGTAATACCAACCTTCACTTTTATCACGGTCAAGAAATAAGGGCCAAAAGTAACTAGGGAGATTGACCAGAAACTAAAACGAAGATATAGGAAGGAAAAGTCCTCAAAAAAAGTAAATATATGGCGCGGAAGCTAGCAACAATAAGAAAAAGATGCAAAAAACACAGGTCACGGTGGGGATCGAACCCACAATCTTCTGATTCGTAGTCAACTGCCTTGCCATTGGGCCACGCGACCATTTCAGATGGACGCCGAGGCTGGAAAATGCGCTCAAGACGCCACACAAGGCCGGCGATTCGATTGGCTGCAAATGCTGGTCGGGCAGCTCAAGCCACAAACACGCCACAAGTCAAGCTGTTGTTCGGCAATGAACAATTAATTCTTGCCCTTCAGCGATTGAATCACTGAAAGGTAGCACCTGGTCTACACGAAGCCGAGTGACTTTCATACTTGCCTGAGCGCAGTACAATATTTGATGGCTTGTTTATTTGCGCCGTTCCAATAAATGAGAGCATGTCATGGACAGCTCGAATCTGTGCCCTGCTGTTCTGTAGTAACCCAGTAAATGATCGCATGTCTTGCAGCGATCGCGTACAAGGGAAGGTCTCGACGCAATGACGAACAATCAATAATACCCGGATCTTTTCAGGACGGTGCCTAATTGGTACAGCATGCTTTGGTTGGATTACTTGTTGGCCATTGCGTCTTGTTTAGATAATCGAACACCAAGTTCCCCGTTGTACTCCGGGCCATGCTGACAGATGGTGAGAACCTTGTCCAGGGTCTGAGAGCAAGCATGGCTAACAATCGACACAAGCTTGAGTATTTCAGGATGAGCTGGGTTCTAGCCTCTGCCTGCTGTTCAACCGCCTTGTACATGGAAACGAGGCATCCCGATTGATTGATTGATGATGAAGGCATCGCGAACTCATGGATGACTTGCTTCCATTAGGTACATAGGTTCAATTGTCGCTTGGCTTGCTCCCCACGAACGCGGGCGGGAGACCTGGAGCCAGTGGAGCGGAATGGATTGAGCCCCTGTCGCGGGAAAATACAGTTGAGTTGGAAGCTAACCACGGGCCTGGTCTTGGCTCTTTTTAGTGGCACGGGGCCTAAAAATAGGCCTTTTCAGTGGACTCCTAGCGACAGCGCATTCCGGGCTTCAGCGGCGCCACTTCACTCCCAAGTTCAATTCATGTTCTCAACACGACGGAGTGCGGTATCGACATTGTACAAAACCATCGCCATGCCGCCTTCTGCAGATCCAGTCTTCCCTCCTCTTCATCCAGTCTAGATCTCATCAGCCATCGCGTCCGGGACTCACCTCACCCTCATCATCTGCCGCCCACCTCACTGCATCGCCCCCAGCCTCCGCCACGCCGTCAGCACTACCACCATGTACCCCGCCTATCCTCAGACCATGCCTTCACCAAAGAGGCAAGGAGTGCCCTCTATGATTCTGGCTGTCGCTGGTACGACTTCTGGCCTCAGCATCTCATACTCCGCCTTCCGCTTCTTCATGAGTCCCACCGCCAAGCTGAACACTGATGAGATCTTCCTGGTCGCTAAGATGGCACCGCTGCTGGGCACAACGAGGCTGTTTCTCCAAGCATTCTCACAGGACCTGCCCGACGACGAGTTTGGCATCTTCTGTGCTTTCTGGGCCCAGTTCATGTACTCGGCTCTGTACCTCAGTGGCCGCCCTAACGGCCTGCACACCGGCTACGCTCACCTTGCCAGCGCCAACACTTTGATATGCTCAGTCGGCCTCTTGGCAGCAATCGAGAAGCGCTGGCGCGAGATCTGGTCCAAGCCCGAGCCCGAGCCGGAATGCGAGTACCGCGATGCCGAGAAGTGTGAGGAGGACTTTGAGGAGGCCATTCCCACCACTACAATCTCCACCCCCCCAACGAAGGCCGGTAATGCCGTTCGCGCCATTCTCATCTTCTTCGCTGTCTGGGCAGCCTACCGTTTCATCCGCTTGGAGATCAGCCTGATTCCTCAAGGATGGTCCACAATCGAGGATCTCGGCGTTCTCGACACCTTCATCTCAAGCATCCGCGGCACTCTAGTGACCGACCTCGCCTTGATGGCTGTTCTCTTCGTTCTCACCGCCGTCCCCCTGACTGTCGCTATCAAGGACCGGACTGTGTCCCTCTTCGACGTGAGTCCATTCATCCGCTCTCCCATTAATCTTCTCGATATTAACTGGTGTTTTAGGTCTCTGGGTACGCCCTCGTTGGTCGCGTTGTTCTTCTCCTGCGTCAACTTTTCGAAATGATCTACATCGGCCTTACCGCCTGCGTTATTGTCACCGGAACCACCATTGTGGCTCCCATGGACTTTATGAAGATCGCCTTCTCTCTGCTGGGCGGTTGGGCTCTGTGCGGAGTGCTGGCCATTGCATATGGAAAGCGCCCCATCCCCCGTCGCATTATTATTTAAGAGTATATATTTGATACCCCTTTTCTTTTTATTATTCCTTTGTCTTTTCTTTTCTTTTCTTTTCTTCTTTTCCTTTGTTCTTTTTCTTCTTCACGAATTAACTATACCCCACCTGTTTCCGGGGTAAATTTTGGGATGTTACGGATGAAATGCATAGCATGGGTAGCATGGAATGAATTAAATCAAAACTGTTAAACTAATTACCATTGACATATAACCCAACATGTGTGATGTACCTTGAAACCATCGATGCCAATTTCCTCTCCACATCCGGGAAGTAGTCAAACTCAGGTAAGGTTTTGCTTTATGAATCTGAGGGGATGGTATCTACGGACCTTATGGAGGCTACACTACCTTGCAAAGACTCCCTTGACATCCTTATGCCAACATGGAAGACAAAGGGGATAAGGATTGGACCTGAGTACTTGAACGATGATATATGGGGCCTGCTCTCCGAAGAAAGGCTGAAGACGCTATAATGACAAGTAGAAAAACGAGTAAGTTGTGGTACAAGAACAACTTGGATATAAATGATCATGTCTCTTTTATCTTATCGAGAAGAATCCAGCTCCTCATGAAAACGGCCATTCTCAGTAGCGAGGACTTGAAGTTATAGAAAGTCAAAATCAAGCCTCCCTTTGATGGATAAATCTTCTATACTACTTGTTTGCGATTATGCTAGCCGTCTGTCAAGAGTTACGATGGGTATGCGAGTACAGATAGTGCCCTATGAGAAAAGTTCAGTGCAAGGCTCACAGCTGGCCCGGTCCTTCAAACAACCCCATCACCGCCTCGTTATTCTCAATCCAGTTCTCCAACTCGGCGCCATTTGCCACCCACAGCATCGGGTTCACGGCTCGCAGCCCATCAGTCATCCCTTGCGCGCCGGCCTCTACAACATGAGCACCGGCCTCCTTGGGGACACCGAGCGTGCCTTGGGGAGTACCGAGATGCTGCTGCTGGGTCAAGTCACACCCACCTGCGGATGAGAACCCTAGTGCATTGAGATATGCATCCATATTCGAGTCGTCCTGCCCCCCACTCGCTTGCATTGCAGAGACGCGGGATTCGACATGGCCTTTCGCGATTCTGTAGAGCACATGGACAAGGCGATACATTTTGGCAGCAGGACTGGAAGCAGAAGAGGCGGATTGGATTGACGTGACAAAGGCTTGGAGGCGGCCAAGGTCATCTCCTGCTTCGGTTTCGATAACATGGCAGAATATGACGACAAAGGGGATGAATGGAGCGAACAGAAGTGTCCTGCGCATGTCAGCATTGAGAAGGAAGGACGGAGATTGGGATCACCCGTGAAAATGTGAGGCACGGCCTCTCACGTACCAGTGCAGATGAGTTGCAAGGTAAGGTGTTTGGCTTCTGCCTATAATCTTCATGCACTCTTCGTGCTTCTCGAGGGTGGCTCTCGCAGCCGTGATGCAGCTGGAGCTGAATGTGGTTGCAGAACTAGGGAGGTGAGGAGCCGCGCGATACACGAGCGTGAGGAGTGATAGCCGAAGGACGTTGTCGGAAGTGTAAAAAAAGTCCATCAAATCCTCACCAGATCTCTGCTTTGCCACTTTGAGCCATTTTTCCTTGTCCCAAGGTTAGTGAACTGGCCGCGGAGAAAGGTTTTTGGAGTTGACCTACGTTCGTTTGACGGGTCGCTGTCTCCAAGCTGTTCAGATCAGATACCAAAGTCTCAACCCGAGACTGCCTTGCCTGACTGGACTGTGTAAGGGAATTGGGGCTATACAGCATCTCGTATATATTGCCCTGGCATCGTGCAGTTTCAATCCACAGGACGAAGTAAGCCGAGACAGGTTCAGAGTGCGAATCGTTCATTGATGGCCGCGGTATCGTGATGTCCCAGTCGGGAATTGTTGAGGGCCGCCCCAGCCGAAGGGATAGACTCTTTTCGACAAGGTAGACGCTCCAAAGCAGAAACTGCTTGTATCGCATGTCCTCTGGCTTGTCATTCTGCATCGATGCAAGCCTATGATAGCCGAGTGTCTGGCATAGTTCTGATGCCTTTGCTGATAAGGTCCATGAAAGAGAAGGCTTCGAGAGCTCAATAGCATAAAATGCCTTAAGAGTGGTCAGTAGAGAACATTTCCTAGGCTATAAATGGGCTACATACCCCAAAGAGAAGGGCGAGAATCATGCCGGAGGTGGCGGGAAGGTGTAGGGACAGATTTGACAGGGCAGTCTCGAGGTTGTCGCGACACATGGAGGCATAGGCCATGTATTCCTCCTTCTCCTCGGCAGAAGAGACGTGGAAGCTGTAGTCCCAAAATAGGGAATTGAGGCCAGCATTGACAGTGATGAAGTTCTCCTCTGAATAATCCTCATTAAAGTAAACGTCAAGGCACATGTCTGTGAATCGTTGAAATGGAAGGAACTCGTAAACCCAGCCGGTTCCCACGAGCTTCTGGGCTTTAGGTTGTGAAAACAATTAGCTTGGGATTGGCATCCTACAAAGGGAGAGGTGATTACTTTTAGCAATGCGTATCAGAGCGATGGCCTTCTTAATAGGAGGCATTTCACAGCCTGGAAGGTTCGGCCGCTGGATAGGCCTGGAATGAGGGTACGCCACCTCATCCGTGGTGGCATCCTGCTGTATAAGGATGCAGGACAGCTCGTCTAGAGCTTCGCATAGTTCTGGGCTGGATTCTTGCAGGGAAGTGGTCTCGGCAACCGTTTGTAGGAATTCATTAACAAACACGGAATGGGCAGCAAAAGAGGAATCACCCTCAACTGCCTGTCCATGTGCCCGCTGCGGCTGGATTGAGTCACTGGCGGGTGTTGAGGCAGAGGATGGTGTTTTGGTCGGGACTTGCGGACGGTGAGGTTGTTGCGGGCTGCGTACATCGGGCGTCCCACGCGTGTGGAGATTTTCTAGGAGGTGAATGGCTCTTTCAAGCCTGTTGTCGATGACATCTAGCTTTCTTTCACTGCAAGGTAACGGGTGTATAGAGTTAGGACCTGCAGAGCGGGAAAACAATAAAGGGCGCAAGAAGGAACAAAAAAACAAACAAACGCGGAGACTTTGGCACACGTACTATTGCGGAGTGATGAGAACGCGCGTGCGTTTCTTTGGAGGTTTGGCTGCAGCGTAGACACAAGCAATGCTGGAAGTGATGCAATGGAAGCAAGGGGACTCTCTATTGCAGCGAATCTACATGCAGGTAAGTCTCTAGATTCAGACAAGTGTCGTCAGGGTGTGAGGTTCCACATACCTTGCGCGCACGACAAGCATCGCACTGCGAAAGGCGATATCAGCAAGTTAGCATCTGCACCAGGAGATTGTACCTCATCCGGGGCTGGGTCAGCCAATCAGGAAAGCAACAGGAATACTGACAGCTCGGCGATGGGCATCAGGGTTCGTCGGCGACCAGTCAGGCCCATTATCGGGCTGGCTGGCCTCGGGCTGGTCGTCATCCATGTTGCAACGATGGCAGGGGGATGTCGGCCACCGGGGGTGGAAATGCGTATCAAGATCGGACAGTGACGAGGATGCCCTGGGCTCGGAGTCGGGAAGGGAGACCACAGCTCCGAGATGGAGAGAGAGTGGTGATGACAGTCAACTTGCTGACAACGCGGGGCGGCAGTAGAAATTTTATCCGGCATTGGGTAGGGGCTTGCGGAGTAGTGGCTGGTCTGGCCTCTTCTCATTTTAGGAGCTGCCCAATGAATCAGCTCGGCGAGGATTGGTCAACATGAGTCACTTGTCGTCATTCATCCTGACGTCGTTCGGCCGTGTCGTTCGGCCGCGGGACCCGCAAGCACCGATGCCGAACAGCCAACACACGGCCATGTGGATCAGGCGCGTAAGGAGGAGAGGACGATGTTTTCTTCATGCTCGTTCAAGGTCGCTTTAAAAGGAGTTGCTTCTTCGCCTCCCGTGTTCTCTTCAAGTGACGCCACTCGTTCTAAACTCTACCAATGCAACCCATTCTTTTGTTGCTTTTCTTCTTTTTGTCCCCTTCATTAGACTGAGTCTCGACTACGGCCTCAACCTCAATCGACCACTGACAACATGGGAACCGAAGCTGTTAAAGAGACCGAAAAGGACGGAGCCAACCAGAGCGATGGTTTCGTCGGGAGCATCGACACCGAAAAAGAACCCGAATCATCTTCGCCCTATACTCGAATCTTCAAGTACGCCGGCGCGTTCGAGTTCTCGCTGCAAGCCGTCGCCATCTTCGCTGCTATTGCCTCTGGTGCTGGAAATGCCCTCCAGAACCTCGTCTTTGGGAGGTTCATCACCATTGTGACCAACTTCGCCTCAGCAACGATATCACCCGCCGAACTCCGCGAAGAAGCTGCGAAACTCGCCCTCTACTTCCTCTACCTTGGAATCGGTCGATTCGTCCTGTCCTACATCTACAACACACTCTTGACCTACACCGCCGGCTGCATCACTCGGAACATCCGAAACGCATACCTCCGAGCCGCTCTCAGTCAGGACATTGCCTTCTTTGACCTTGGCACTGCTGGTTCCATTGCAGCCCAGGCCACTTCCAACGGTCGCCTGATTCAAGGTGGCATCAGTGAAAAGCTGGGGCTGACCTTCCAGGGCCTCTCTACCTTTGTCACGGGCTTCATCATTGCCTTCGTCTTCCAATGGAAACTGACCCTAATTTGCCTCTGCATTGCCCCCGCAACCCTGATTGTGAATGGAGCTGCCGCTGGGATCATGGCTGGTCACGAAACTAACATTCTCGAAATACACGCACAAGCCAACGCGTTCGCTGAAGACATCCTTTCTAGTGTTTCTACGGTTCACGCATTCACGCGGGGCAGACTGATGAGCAAATACGACGGTTACCTGGTCAGAGCCCACCACATTGGTAGTAAAATCTCGCCCCTCTTCGGCCTCCTTCTTTCATCCGAATATTGCATCGTTTACCTAGGCTATGGCCTTGCGTTCTGGCAAGGTATCCGGATGCTCGCTAGAGGTGAAATAGACGAGCCAGGTGACATCTTTACGTGAGTGCTCCCGCCTCAATTTCCCAAGGCTTCCCTACTGATCATAGCGACGCAGCGTCATTCTATCCGTCATCATCGCTGCCACCAGTCTAACAATGCTTGCACCATATTCGGTGGACTTCACCCGCGCTTCCGCCGCAGCAGCCAAATTATTCAAGCTGATCGACCGAAAGTCAGATATTGACCCCTTTAACACCGCCGGTGAGATGCCCTCCACGACGACTGGGCACATCCAGATCGAAAATGTCACCTTTGCCTACCCAACACGGCCGGACGCCACAATTCTTGATAACTTCTCTCTCAATTTCCCTGCCGGGAAGGCCACAGCCCTAGTTGTGAGTTGATAACTCTTCCGTCCGTATCGCATCAGAACTAACCGTTTATCCTGCAGGGTCAATCCGGCTCTGGTAAGAGCACTATTGTCAGCCTTGTTGAGCGGTGGTATAACCCTCAGGCCGGCAGCATCAAACTCGATGGCAACAACATTGATCAGCTCAATCTGAACTGGCTCCGAAAGAACATCCGCCTGGTGCAGCAGGAGCCTGTTCTGTTCCAAGGAACCATCTTTGACAACATCAAGTACGGCCTTGTTGGCACTCAGTGGGAACATGCGCCGGCGGAAGAGCAGATGAAGCAAATCGAGGAAGCTTCCAAACTGGCGTTTGCCCACGAATTCATCACTAAGCTTCCCCAGGGTTATCATACCCAGATTGGTGAGCGCGGCGGTCTGCTCTCTGGCGGCCAGAAGCAACGTGTTGCCATTGCCCGCAGTATTGTCTCCAAGCCTAAGGTCCTTCTGCTGGATGAAGCGACGAGTGCTCTTGATCCCGAAGCTGAAAGGATCGTCCAGCAGGCCCTTGACAGGGTTTCCGAAGGTCGCACAACAATCGTCATTGCCCACAAGCTTGCTACTGTCCAGAAAGCCGATAACATTGTGGTCATGGCCAAAGGGCGCATTGTCGAGCAGGGCACTCATCGGTCGCTGATCGCGCATGACGGCACTTACGCCCGACTCGTTAAGATTCAGGATCTCACCGCGGTCAATGATGAGTCTGAGGCATCTTCTGAGGTCGACGAAACGGGAGAGCCTGCTGAGCTAGTTCACACCCTGACTCGAAAGGAAACATCCGAGCAGAGGAATGCGGAGGTACTAAAGAATCGAGATGACTATGATCAACATGAGCAGCTCGGTATTTTCTCCGCAATAGGACGTCTTCTCCTCGAGACTCCCGAGCTTGGTGGCGCGTACACTTTCATCTTCATTAGCTGCCTCATAGCCGGTAAGTACTCTCGCTACCCCTGTGGCGTCGCCATGCCTCCTTACTAACATCCTGTAGGCGGAACCTTCCCTGGCCAAGCCATCTTGTTGTCCAACATGATGGGCGTATTCTCTCTCACGGGATCTGAAATGGAGCAACAAGGTAACTTTTATGCTAAAATGTTCATCGTACTGGCCTTCGGATGTTTAATCGCATACTTCACCATGGGATATGCAGCAAATGTTGTGGCTCAAGGCCTGAGCCACAAGTTCCGCAAGAGCCTTCTTCACGACATGCTTCGCCAGGATCTGCAGTTCTTCGATCGAGACGAGAATAGCACCGGGGCACTCGTCAGCCGCATAGACTCAAACCCACAGTCCATCCTCGAGCTGATGGGCTACAACATCAGTCTTGTCCTTGTTGCCGTCTTCAACATCACTACCTGCAGCATCCTGGCCATCGCGTACAGCTGGAAGCTTGGCCTGGTGGTTGTTTGTAGCGGGCTTCCGCCCCTGGTCGCGGCTGGTTATATGAAAATCCGGTTCGACGCCAAGATAGACCGTGAGACATCCAAGCTCCTGTCATCGAGTGCCTCCATCGCCTCTGAAGCAATCACTTCTATACGCACTGTTTCGTCGCTGGCCATTGAGACGTCGGTGCTGGCTCGATACACTGACGAGCTCGACTCAGCCTTGGCTGGCTCGAAGCGGCCAGTGTTCACAATGATGATCTGCTTCGCCTTGACACAATCAATCGAGTACTGGTTCATGGCCCTTGGCTTTTGGTATGGCTGCCGTCTTTTATCGTATGATGAGATCAGCATGTATGCCTTCTTTGTCGCCTTCTTGGGCGTCTTCTTCTCCGGACAGTCCGCCGCCCAGCTTTTCCAATATTCAACCAGCATCACCAAGGGTGTCAACGCCGCAAATTACATCTTCTGGCTTCAAAGCATTCAGCCTGCTATACAGGAAACGGACTCAAACCGTGGAAATGGCCCTGACTCGGATACTTCCTATAGCATCAATGATATCCAGTTTTCTTATCCGCTTCGTCCCGACACCAGCGTCCTAAAAGGCATAAACCTCCAGGTAAGGAGTTCGTCTTCCATTAGCCAGTCATTCTCGGCACTAACAGTCGCTCTTTAGATCAAAAAGGGCCAGTTCGTCGCCTTTGTCGGCGCATCTGGTTGCGGCAAGTCTACAATGATTGCCCTACTAGAGCGGTTCTACGATCCCTCAACTGGTTCGATAAATATTGGCTCGTCGCCCCTGACTTCCCTGAACCCCAGGCTCTACCGCCGTATCGTCGCCCTTGTCCAGCAGGAACCAAAGCTATTCCAGTTCTCGATCCGCGAGAACATTGCTCTCGGCATTGATGAACCTACTGAAGGAAAGAATCCTGCGGGTTCTGCAGGAACTGTCAGCGACGAGATGATCGAGTCAGCACTGCGCGCCGCCAACGGGTGGGATTTCGTGTCCTCTCTCCCCGAAGGCCTCTCTACCCCCGCAGGCTCCAATGGTACGCAACTCTCTGGCGGCCAGCGGCAGCGAATCGCCATTGCACGGGCACTTATCCGTAGTCCGAAGGTACTGTTGCTCGACGAGGCTACTAGCGCGCTCGATACGGAAAGCGAGAGAATTGTGCAGGCAGGTTTAGCCAGGGCTGCAGAGGACGGTGATAGGGTGACAATTGCAGTTGCTCATCGTCTGAGCACCATCAAAGATGCGGATGTGATTTACGTCTTCCATGGCGGAAAAATCAAGGAGTTTGGGACGCATCAGGAGTTGCTTTCACAAGGTGGCATGTATCGTAAGATGTGTGAGGCGCAGGCTTTGGAATAGAGATAGGGCGATTATTACTTTCTTTGGCACGGCAGCCTTGATAGACTTTTATAGATATACATACTAATTATGTTCTTTTCCTATTGCTAAGTTGTGGCTGCTTCTATTGTATTAAGATATTAGGTCTGGCATCTTTATTATCATTTTTTACTATGCTCGAACTCGCTCATCTGTATGCTTGAATAGTTGATTTGACAATAGCTAGGAATCAAAGACCATATCAATTGCTTCAACATTTTGGGCCCTCAGTATCTGTTAGTTTAAACCTTCGGGTGAAAGAGGCGGCACAGTAGAATTCGGGGGTTTCCTAATTTAGTGGTAATGGACATAACAGTGGGAACCGAAGGTCTCTTTATTTTGGTTAGGGAGGTACTTTTGAAAACTATCCATGCACCTTTGGAAGGTGGTATTAAAACACTCAAATGGTTGCCTAGGTGTATGATGGCTAGGTATAAAGATACTGTGATGCTCGTCCTCCTCCGCCAGAACCAGCTTTACCAGCCCATTCCAATTTCTCCAAGTACCTTGCCTATATCAAACGCCACACCAATTTGATTCAAAAACCAGATATACACACTTTCAAGATGCAGGTTTCCACTATTCTCACTGCTCTCTTTGCAAGCCTTGCCTTAGCCGCTCCACGCACTGAACTTATCGAAGATGTTGCAAAGCTTCTTGAAATCCATGCTGATTAGTGCCATTAAAGAAATGTCCAAAAGGTAAGAGCTTTTTTCTTTTTTAAAATTATATGTGTTTAAATTAGAGGTGCTATACCGAAGGTATAATAAGTAATCTGCCCTCTACAAACTTATAGTTCAAACATCTAACATCTTAGCCAACTTCCGGTTACTTCTAGGAGCCTCTGGATATCCAAGTCGAAAGGGGCGCCTTATCAAAGCACTTCGAAGTCAATATCAATGCCACAGAGTGTCAAAGGAAAACGGGATGCGCACGCCGGAGGGAGTGAAGATCAGGGACATCAATGTATTCCATCTAGCTCGCTGCGCGGTGGCAATTATTTCGAAGCTCTCCATACATTGCATTATACATCAAGACGATACTCTCCTGATTTATATGACCGAGTCTGGGCGGCTTCATTCGCGATGAGTAGAAATCTGACGATCACTTATCCGCCTAGCTTGGCTGTGATTCTGGAGTGGGCTATGACATGGGTGCCTATTTCTAGGCCAAGTCGAAGAAAATAGAACAAAGGACTGCTTTGGCATTACATATGTTCATGTGCCTCAGACGTATTTGTAAGTGATACGCGTCTTTCGGCCTATCTAGGGATTGACCGACGTAGAACAACAAAACGAAAAAGCTCGAAGGATTCTCCTACACTTGGCAAGGCAAGGGTGTTTCGGGTTCAGCACCCGGCCAAGCCTTATTTAGCTTAATCTTCATAGCAATGTGGCAGCCTAGGTCGGCCTGTAGAGTAAGCACTCGCATTAACACTGTGGCACACTGTCTAATGATGTGCCGCCCCTGATGATCTGATAAGATTGACTGTTCACCGGACAAATTCCACTCACCGGACTAGAACCACGCCTTTTACAAGGCGCGCCCTGCTGGAAGAGTCTTAATGCCTGAGTTGGGATTGTGCAGCCCGCAGGCAGACGATGCCTTTGGGCCCGTCGTTGCCCACTGTCGCCAGGGCTTCGACTTTACGCTGCTTTTTGAGCAATTCATCCTGTCGGCCGTGCCCTCGGTTCTGGTGCTGCTCGTTTCATCATGGTCCTTGATGCGAAGGCATCGAAGGAGTGTCAAGACCACCTCGCAATCCATCTTTTCTCTGAAATTAGCAAAGCAGGTATGTACAATGTTGCTCTTCTGGCAGCGCTGGCCTTTCCCCCGTTGCTCACGCCTATTACTCGATACCTAGATTTCAATTGCATCCTTAGCCGTCACACAGCTTGTCTTGATCGTGCTATGGAGCTTGCCCGATTCAAACAGGACCAAGGCGTCGCTGCCTGCGGTGGCACTCTCGCTTGCCGGGACACTCGCAATGGCAATCCTCTCGTATCTTGAACATGACCGTTCCGTTCGCCCTTCTACCATCCTTTGTGCCTATCTATTTTTCTCGGCATTGTTGGATCTCAGCCAGGCTCGAACACTATGGCTGAGGCAGAGTAACGATGCGGTAGCCGCTGTCTTCACTGTTGGTCTTGTCCTTAAGGTTGTGACTCTCGTTGTGGAAACAATTGAGAAGAAGAGTTTCCTCCAAGCACCTTACCGTGACCTTAACCCGGAGACATTGGGAAGCGTCTTTAATATAAGCGTCTTCTGGTGGCTGAACTCTCTCTTCTTGAAGGGCTCATCTACGTCCTTGGGCATCAAGGACCTCTTTGCACTTGATGAAAACATGCTCTCTGCCAAGATCCACTCAAACATTCGTCAGCGGTGGGAAGGGCAACAACAGAAGAGCTTCTATCGCCTCCTTTGGGTTGCGGTTAGATCTGCTTGGAGGCCGTTGCTCATATCATCCGTCACGCGACTGATTCTTATCCCGATCAAATTCGCGCAGCCACTCCTCATCGACCGAGCAGTAAGCCTCATGACTGAGCCTGAAAGCCAAACAAAAACGAATAGCGGCCGAGCTATCATTGGGGCCACGGCTCTCATCTATCTTGGCATTGCGATTATGACCGGCTATCACCGACACAACCTCTATCGTTTCGTCACTATCCTCCGAGGCGGCCTGGTCTGTTTGGTATACGACGCGACTCTCAAGTTGGACATGGACCAGTCTCAAGAGTCGGCAGCAGTTACTCTCATGAGTGCTGATGTCGATCGCATCGCTCTTGGCTTTGAATCCCTGGATGCCCTGTGGGCTGGGCCCATCGAAATTGGCATTGGTATATATCTCCTGAACCAAAGGATTGGGGCTCTCTGCGTTACTCCAGTTGTACTGGCCGTTGGTACGCAAACACTGATTAATCATACATTTTCATTATCCTCGCTCTTGGATTGCTAACAGATCCTGTAGTTCTGGTCGCAATATGTTTCTCTGTGGGGAAGACTGCGACTTCGGCCCAAAAGGTTTGGGTAGAGGCCATGCAGCGGCGAGTGGCCGCAACGGCCAGAGTTCTAGCTAATATCAAAGGCCTCAAGATGACGGGACTCACGAGCTTTATCGACACTGAGCTCCATGATCTTCGAAATTTGGAGCTAAAGAAGTCCCGGCGGGTCCGTGTTATCATCTGTGTGACAGCAGCGATCAGCACCACAACGTTGCCTATCTTAACGACCATAACCATCATGGTGTATGTGCTCGTCAACCGGAATTCGCCGGATTTCAGATTTGATTCTGCCCTTGTTTTCACAATGTTATCTCTCATCTCCCTTTTGGCCCGCCCTGTTCAAGACTTGGCATTTGCTATCGCGGACGTTGGAGGTGGGATTGGATGTCTCCAGCGCATTCAAAAATATTTATTGGCCCAAGGAGAGGTTCAAGAATCTGAGTGTCCACCTCCGGTACCTGACTCTTCTAAGGGAAACGAGATGGAGGACCTTCTGCCTCAGTCTGGCACAGATGCATTGGTAACAATTCTGGATGCGGATTTCACCTTCCAGGACGCAAGCAAGCCCGTGCTTCACGATATTTCACTCAAAGTCCCGAAGGGAAGCTGGACCATCCTAACTGGACCAGTTGGAAGTGGAAAAAGCGCTCTGCTGCTCGCTATCCTTGGGGAGTTGCGGCAGCTTAAAGGATCAGTTCAAAAGAGCATGCTGCTGCCCATTGCGTTCTGTGCCCAAGAGCCGTGGCTGCCTAACACAACACTTCGTGAAATCGTCACGGGGTTCTCCGAATATGATCCCAACTGGTACTCGAAGGTCATTGAGGCGTGTGTATTGAGCTTTGACATCAAGGAACTTGCGCGGGGTGACCAGACGGTTATTGGTAGTGGAGGGATCAGTTTGAGCGGAGGGCAGCAGCAAAGACTCAGCTTAGCTAGAGCACTGTACTCCCGGAAGCCATTACTTCTTATTGATGACGTTCTTTGCGGCCTTGATCCGGCGACAGAGCAGAACATTGTTGATAATGTTTTCGGGCAAAGTGGCCTATGCCGAAAGAACGGCACCACTGTGTTTCTCGCTACACATTCTGGTAAGTGTCAAATCTCCTATAACTTGCCTATCTTTTCCATTGGATCAGACTGACGAAGCAGTGCGTCACGCGATGCGAGCTGACCATGCAATCGTCTTGGCCTCTGGTGGCACTATTCTTGAGCAGGGCAAACCATCCCAGCTCTCCTCCCTTTCGGAGTTTTCGAACGACACCGAATCTGAGGAACCACCCTCCACATCGTCCTTGAATGACGCCAACACCACCGATCAAGGCAGCAATGTCCCTAACGCTCAAGACCAGGACGAAATTCAGGATTCAGGCTCGCGAAGCAACGGGGATACAAGACTCTTTGCATACTATCTCCAGGCTATTGGATGGGTGAACGTCCTCGGCATCGCCATCTTCAGCCCTATCTTCGCCTTCTCATTTAAGTTCCCTACTGTTGTCTTGAACTGGTGGTCAGCGGTAGAGACCGAAACACCTGGCGCTAAAACCGACCTATACCTTGGGATGTATTGCTTGCTCGCTGTGCTCACCATCATCAGCGTCATCATGGCCTTGGTTTTCATTCTCATCTTTGGAATGCCTCGAGCGTCTATCAGAATACACAGGAGGTTGCTGGATGCCGTAGTCGAGGCTCCTCTCTGGTTCTTTGTCTCTACTGACTCCGGCCAGACTCTGAACAGATTTAGCCAAGACTTGTCACTCATTGACGTTGCGCTCCCGCCAGGTATGCTCAACACGATATACATGGGAGCTCTGTGCATTATGGAGGTCGGGCTCATCGCCATGGCGTCCAAGTGGGCTCTGTCAATGTACCCTGTCTTGCTCATCGTTTTGTATTTCCTTCAGGGCTTTTATCTGCGCACTTCGCGACAGCTTCGGCTGCTTGATATTGAAGCCAAGGCACCCCTTTTCTCGCAATTCATGG